GGAATGTCAGCTTCTCTCATTCGAGTTTGAAAAAAAGCATTTGTAAGATCGATAATTGAAAAAACTTTCCCTGTTCCCACAAGCCTGACCAACCGGTCCACATTTGGCAATGGCGCACGGTCCCGCACGGTCAGGCCATTCAAGACACGGTAGTCACATACCCATCTTGGAAGTGCAGCCGGGTCCTTCTTTGGTATAATCAAGCTTGGCGAACAGTATTGACTGGTTGAGCGTCGAATCCTACCAGCCGCAAGGTGTTGATCCACTAATTTCTTCCATGCATTCAAGTATCTCGGCGGGTAGTTGTATTGTTTCTCCTTGACTTCTGCGTTTGGATCCTTCAAGATAATTTTGTGTCTGATTTTTGAACTTTCATGTTGTAATTGGTCTGAGAAAGTTCCATCTACAAACAACCCTTCTTCTTCTGCTTCATCCAATACCGCAGGTATATCTACCGGAAATAGATCACTGAATTCTTCAAACAATTCCATCTCATTCTGCTCAAACTCACTCGACGACGGCTGTTTCTCTTCTACTCCTACATTCTTCTCCCATGATGCGTTGAAAGCTTTTTCTGGTTTGTTTATACGCGGCACTGATAACTTCTTTATTTTTTCATTCCACTCTTCTAAAACTCGATAATCATATATTTTCAAGCCCGTACGCTCACATACAATAGCACGTTGGCTGACAGAAACAGAAAGTTGAAAAACATTGAAGAAAGGTGTTCCAAGTATCATATCAAACTCTCCTCCCACGTCTCCGATCTTACATACCGTCCTGTTAAATCGTTTACTTGAAGTTGCTTCTACGAGATTCAAGACTGTGAATTCTGTGAGGATCGGTGGTGGGGAGTCGGTAGTCACTGCGAGGCTGAGTTGAGTTGGACGGACGAGCTTCCTTCGTTTGAGATTAAGTCGCTCGACCGCCTGATCTGTCAGAAGATTGATCTCGGCGCCCGGGTCAGCTAACGCTTGTATAGCTTGTCCATCATGAGTGAATTCAATGATCACACGGGGAGGTTTGGGAGCGGGGACGCACCCTTTGGCCTCAGCCAAGTCGAGCTCCTCATCCAAGGCTTGAAGAGGTGCCACCGACGCTTTTTCCAGGTCTGGATATTCCGTGGCTGCTGCCGCTCTTGCGTAAGATGGGCGACCTGCAGGAGGTTGAGTGGCTCTGCCTGCTTGCGCGAGATTAGCCGGTGGTGATGATTTCGCTCTTGGAGGCACGTAGTTGGCTGGTTTCGGCGGGGCAACGTAACCCGGTGGGAAGACTGTCTTCTCTTTGACGTATGGACCTTTGCATGCACGATGCTCACTTCCACACCACTTCTTGCAGAAGTGGCATTTGCCAATAGAGTCCCGATACGAGTAAAGCTTCCACACGAATTCTTCATCCGACAGTCGTTGAGATGAGTTGGTAGTTGGGCTCGATCGAGGTTGTGTATGAGTCGAACTAGCGAAGTTGTTTGTTCTGGTCTTCTTCGTGATGATGTGAGATGCCACTAGTGATTCGTATAAAGTGACACACTGACTTTCGAACGAACTGTATGTGAAGTCTTTGGTGTGCTTGGAGAATCCCCAGAGTTTCACATGAGTCTTCAATTCTTCCACCATCCCATACTCTACAAATTTCGCCAGTTGATGATCATCTAAAGTGACAGTATGAAAATTAATCAAAATTTGAATGCCCCTAGCTCGGGTACTGTAAGTCTTGAAATCTTTGAATGGCGACATTTTGAGATGTTGAGCTTTCTCGTACAAGCGATCTTTCCAGTCAGCCGGTAAGCAGGATGCGAAAAGGCGATTAAGAAAATCTTTCCATGATCCTTTGATGAATGAGTCGAACCCCGCTTCGTAGAATGCGTGAGCGTTAGGCTCTTCGAGAAAGCTGCCGACTAAAGTGATGCGATCCTTATCTTCGATCACACCTTTAGTTCGGTAGAATGTTTTCAATGCCGTGTACCATTGTAAGAATGGTTCGGTCTCGTGGTAAGGTCCTTTGTATACCGGCCCATCTGATGTGCAGAACTTAGTTAAATCGATTCCAGTAGATGGTTTAGATTCTGCTGGCGTCGCCGCTGGTGGTGGCGACTCCTTCGAGACCATTACCTTCATCATGAAGTCCTCTAACTTCGCCATGCGTTCATTGGTTGAAAGTTGGGAATCGACAATAGCCTTCATCAAGGCCGAGTTGGACGAGTCAGGCTGGTCTTGTTGCGAGTTCTCTGCCATCGTGGGAAATACCTTTGGCGATAATGGCGGAGTTGTTGTGTCACGAAGTTTAGGGTTAGCAACGGATCGAGGAGAAGATGGTAGTGAGGACAGGCCCGAGGAATCGGATTCAGGCAACGATGGCAATTGCGACATGGATGTTCGAATACGTGACGGGGTAGCTGGCGGTATGGCGTCTGTACGAGTACGTGCTGGCGTGGTTGGTAGGGGAGCTGGCGGTGGTTGGGCTGCGACTTGTCTGGCGATCTGTGGGTTTGGTCTAGATAGACGTTGTTCACGTCGCGCGGCTCGAAGGATTGCTTCGGGGTCTGGCAAAGGCACTGGCGGGAGTTTCTGGCTTGAAGGTTGTCGACGTGCAGGCATACACGTGATTAGAATGTGGGGGAATTGAGTAAAATTGTTTTGAATTACAATTGAAGTGATTCGGATTCAATAGATTCGGAGTGGCGCAATCGATAAGGTTATGTTCGAATGCAACTAGTGTCAAAGTAGTGAATTCTCTTTTGCGGGTTGAGAAAAAAAAAGTGTAAGGTTTGAGAACCTTCACTAGACACGAGACGGGACGCTGTGGGACACAGCAGGGTTTTCTAGAACCCAAGAGACCTGATCTGTTATTTCAAATACCAATCGCGAACACAGCTGGTTCCGAAGGATGAGGGGTGGGAGATCAGTCCCGATATCTCTCTAACAATACACATAAATAGATGAAATGAAATAAAAGATGATAGTGACGTTACCTGGTTCCGAAGGATGAGGGGTGGGAGATCAGTCCCGATATCTCTAAGGAACCAGTATCAAGAACGAGATTTGAGATAAACTATATAGTTGTCTTAAGGTACTAAGTCTAAGTGTTAAAGACTGAAGGTATTAACTATGAGTATGTGTAATGACCGTAGGTCTTACACTGTCAGTAAAGATGGTCATCAATCAACAGAAGTGAGAACAATCAAATAAAAAGGGGAGAGTGAAAGAAAATGAATAAACTCACCTCGGTTTCTAAAACGGGGAGGCTGGTGCTGCTTGCATTTGGTTCACGCTTGTCGTTGGTGTCTGGTGGCATTGCGGAAGTTGAGTGAAGTTGGGTGAGATTGATCGATTGATATCAAATGGTGGTGGATGAATCAATGGTTTTGAGCTGAAAACCATTGAAGTGCTGGATGGGGTTTGGATCAGTGCCCATCCAGCTGATCCAGCTTTGGGTATTTTTTGGATCGGGGCCAAATTTGCGCCTTTCAAGCAAAAAAAAAAATTACAAGCTTTCAAGCAGATGCAGTATGCTACAGCAGGAGAAGTTTTTTCTGGTAAAAACCATAAAAAAAGTCAAACCTGACACCCCCTAATGTAGAATGTTATATGTGATATTATTATGATGATAAGCAGGACCTATATATCGTGAACTGATTAGCTTGACAAAACCCTCTTGTGTGGAGAGCAGCATATCTATGCCTTCAAACAAATTGTAACCTTGATGGCTATTTTCTTTTGTGATTTCACATTCAAATTCAGCCTGAGATATAGGCAATTTCAGAAAGGTTCACAAAGCTTTACCTGCAAAAGTTCTTGTCAGGATTTGCTTGTCAGGATTTGTGAGATTGACTGTAGTAAGTTCCACAGTCAGGCAATTTTCTTAGCAAGCCCGGGTGTCTGGTGGAGTCTGATCTGGTGAGACTCAGAAACACTTTGGGCTCAGCTCCAGGGGGATGGACCCATGAGATCTCAGATTTGACTCACCAAGGAAGGATCCCACTATTTCTCGGCCCCTCGGCCAATATCCGGCGCCCCCTTTATTTGGGGTATTACCCGAAAAACCCGACGCAACCCGAACGCGGTGGAAAAACTGAGGTCGTCTTGAAGCCAGCTCAATCAAGTCCAAGGAGAAGATTTGATGAGATCATAAGAACTCGTGGTCAAGGATCGATAACGATGATTGGTTCGGGGTGATAGGTTGCTCGGTTTCGCTGGGCCGTAAGAATCGAATGAACGAATGAATCGAGGAGGATTGAATCGAGGAGAGTTTTGAAGTTTATTGACTTGAGACGAAGCTATGTAAACTTAATGATCACTATGTGCTACGTATGTACCAATATAAATCGTGTCTGGATGATGATGTCATCCTGGGTCGAATCCGATGATGATAAAGTTTTCACTGGCGAAGAAAGACCGGAATGAAATCGGGTGACCTGAGCGTGAAAGCCAAGGAAGTATAAATTCACAACATCAAATTTGAATGACGTCACTTTTGGCTCATGATAGAAAGTGATTTAACATCACATGAAGAAGGCTTGGGTTCTAATGTTTCGCAAAACCAATGTCAATTATTGATACATACAAAAAAATACGTGCTTGCTTCAAGTTTTTTTTACATATCTATCGATTGAGTGATAGGGCGAATGACAGCATGATGGTAAGATCAAAGTATAAACAGATATCCATATTGTTAAAGATGATGTATAAAAGGGAGAAAAAGAGATGTTTAAAACCATTGAAAGCTATCTCATACACCAGAGTCAAATGAAGAAGAGAGAAATCGATGATAAAGAAGTGAACCGATGAAAAGATGTTAAAATGTGTAAATTGATGATTGTAAAGAGTGGGAACGTTGTTTGATGAAGATATATGATATGATGATATGATAACCGTTCAATCAGCACTTTCGGTTAACCGATCGATCGAAAAACATTCCTGAGAATCAAGTGATAAGTGTATCATTTTGACAATCAAGCAAATCACTATTTCTATAACACAGTCATCTGGCTTTCAAGGCGAAGAAGTTCAAGATCATCATCTTGAGTCCATGACGCTTTCGATTTGAAACTGAAAAAAAAGAAAAGAAATTTAATTGTAAACTCATCTGCCCATCATCGCTCTCAAGTTTGACAAGTTCAACTTTAATTTTACAAACTCCCCCTTTCACGCTTTGATTTAGTAAATCCTCATCATCATCATCGTCATCGTCATCGTCATCGTCAAGATCTACCAATTAATCTCTAAAATCATTTCTATATAAAAACTCTTCTTTTCCTTTCCTGATCTTTCAAACCACCATTTTCTGATTTTTGAATAACAACCTTGATCAGTTTATCATGTCTGAATTCAACCTCTGTTCTACCTATTCTACTAAGAATCAAGCTGAACTCATTGTTGATGCTATCCTCGTCAGTCTTCTTCTTTTATATCTTCTCTCTTTGATCTCCCAGTATCAATACTCAACCTAAAATATCAATGATCGAATTGCTTAGTTCGATATGGATGGTACTCTGGTCGATTCAATTGCTGCTGTGGAATCAGCCTGGGGTGCAGTAGCTGAAGCCTTGAAGAAAGATCCTCAAGAAGTCATTGATGCTACTCATGGTCGTCGTGCGATTGATAATCTTAAAGACCTTAAACCTCATCTTCGTAGATTGTCAAATGTGGAGATGGAACCACATGTGGAAGAGTTTGAAACGGAGATCTTAAGACAGGCTGATGACTTTCAAACCAAAGTTCGATCTCGTCGTTCGAGTGCGGCTAGTAGCAAGCGAGCAAGTCGTGAGAACAGTCGACGTGGATCAATGGCTACACACGACAAGAGCGCTGTGAGACGTAAATCAAGCTTGAATCAGTCCATCACTGCTGATGGGGTGACGAGTCGAATGGCTGTCAGTTCACTTCCTTTTAATCTTTTCAACTTCATTCTTTGGACTCGTCTTGATCTTGAACTCTCTGATCACAGGCACTCGGACTCAAGCCTCTCACTTCTGCCCCCATCAATGGGTCTAAGTCCCCCTCTAGAGGTGCAAATGGAGCCGTCTCACCCGCTCCAGTTGCTCATGAGACTTCTGAAACGGTTGACGAGGACGTCTTTGCTGAAGATGACGACGACGAAGACTCTATCAAGACAGACAATGAAGAGGTTGACGTCTCTGATTTGACGGTAAGGATCTCTCTTGCTTATAGACGCACTTTTTTCTTTCATCTCAAGTGAGCTGACATTGAGAAATATCATATAGGACAAGTCAGTAAGGATCCTTCCAGGTGTTCGAAGGATCATTGACGCCTTACCCGAAGGTCGCTATGCCGTTGCGACTTCAGGAGCCAAGACGTATTGTTACGGAGCCCTCAAGCGGGTAGGTATAGTACCACCCAAGGTCACCATCACTGCGGATGATCCGCGTCTTAAAGGTGGAAAACCATTGGTGAGTTTCATCAATCAGACACTTTTCGATGCAATCTTTCACTGAGCTTTTGTGTCATCAATCCTAGCCCGATCCATTTATATTGGCAGCAGAGTGTTTGGGATTTGATCCTGCGAAATGCTTAGTGATCGAAGACTCTCCCTCAGGCATTATAGCAGGAGTAGCCAGTGGAGCCAAGACGATTGCTGTTTGCACTTCTCACCCTCATGAAAGAAGTAAGTGACCTTGTGTTTGATAGTTTGATTGATGATCATCTCACTGATGTTTTGATACACTCTAGTTTCACATTGTGGAGCGCATTGGTTGATTCCTACACTTGAATTGGTTCAGATTGAAGTTTTGGAAGATGGTCGATTGAAAGTCTTTGTGGATGCTAGTGCGAAAGAAGTGGATGCGGCTCATCAAACGGCTATCAAGAGTAGTGCTCCTCCTAAACTTTTTTTTGAGAATCGATCAGTGGCTAGTGCTACTCAAGAGAAATCTAAGTAGAACTTATATTAGAAATCATCTACTCTTGATTGTATGGATTGAATTGAGTTAATTTTTCTTTTTCTTTTTCTTTTTCTATATATGCATATACATTTAAAAGATGTAACAGGTCTTCTTTGTTTTCAATTTGTGATTTGGTGTTTTGATTTGCAGTGTTATGATCAAACCCATAGGTTTAGATGATTGTTATTTTTTTGGTATTGTATTGGAATCGAGTTCCAAGAAAGGATGTCGTGTTAATGTAGAAAAAGGATAGTGAAGAGAAAGATTAGAAGTAAGAGATACGGATGATGTTGAGTCTGAGGTATATGCAGTTTAACAGTATGTATAACAAGAGCGAGTCAAGTTTTGCAAGCGGTATGACTTCAGATCAGATCATTTCGCATCCTTGACTTTAACCAACAGTAGTTATATGCAGCGGTAACGGCTAGCCTGGTGCCATGGTCATAATCATCAATGCATATGAGGCTTGTGAGTAAGTCTCGTGAGAGGAGCCTGAGTTGCACCATGCGTCTGAGTCTGACCTCAAGATACGAACTTTTCCTTTGAAGTTTTTTGAGCCATCTAGACGTACTGCACACTACGTTCGGTCAGTCATTAGAAACGATGGGCTTACTTTCAACCATGTAGCAACGCTAGTTCCTCATGATGTAAAGGTTGGATCTTGGCTTTAGAGGTTGAAGAATATGGCCTTTTTTTATTTTACAATTTTATCATTTTACTCGCAGTGATTAATTTAACTAACTCCCTCGTGCAAAGGTTTAACATATGTATGTAGCAAGAAACATCGGAGCTGGAGACCGCAAACTCATGAACAAGTAGCGCGTCTTTTCATGTGCTCTGGAGGGCGAAGCAAAGAGCCCAAAAACCACAAAACGTGCTTGGTGAGACGCCAAAGGCGCAAGCCATGGGCATGTTGAGAAGGATTCGGAACAACACATTCGTCGTTCATATATGTTGACTATACAGGGTTGAGAAAAACTCAGCAGGAATTGTCTCCTCTTATAGGCTTTGTTCTCCCTTGTTAACTTCATCAAGACTTTCAGCTTTCAGTCTCTCTTTAACTTGTCAACCCCGTTGGATCTTGTTGTGTGAAATATGTCTTGGATACGATCGATTCCCATCTTTCATCTTTTGCTCATTATTCTGTTCGCCGGAGATCTCGGGTCTCATACCTTCGTGATTGCCAATGCTATAGACTGTACTAATGGTTGGACGTCAGCAAACGGCTTTAGTTCAGATGGTCAGTCATAGATCTCCCTGCAGTATGGCGTTTTACAACACTTCAAAGTCTTCACAAAATCTTTCATTTCGGATAGTACATACCAACTGACTCAATGCACACTTTTTCCAAAACTCATGCTCAAAGTTTGTTACGCCGCAGACAGGACTTATTACTGCACGTATTGTTATAGACAAGATAATCTATTACCCTGTAGGAGAGAATTTCCTCGTTTTCGATCAATGATCAATCTAGAATGATTACTTATATACCTTTTGGTTGGTTCGAATTGGAATCACACAGCTGCTAGTGACTGTGTTGACTTGAATGGAGATTTAGCGAACGGAGGGAAATGGTGGAATTGCGATAGCGCAATGACTTACAATAAATATGATCGAGCAGATGGTAGACCGATCAGTTAAGTCATTTTGCACATTTGATCTCTTAAATAGTTGGAATAGGAAGATATTTTGAATACATTGATCTCAATGGGGATATACCAGAAAATACTAATGTATGTACATTTTGGATTTTATTTGTTTCATATAAAACTTGAAAAACAAAAAGTTTGTAAACATATTTATAAAGCGGATGGATCGGCTAAAACGTATTGGTGTAAAGCACCTATTAGAAAACAACGTAAGTGTGATTTCTAGAAATTATCAAGTATATCTTATTCACTTATCACTAATTTGTCCTTGCTATGGTACCAACTTGATACGGGATCTAGAATGTGCACGGGAGTCGTGTAAGCCATAATGATAAAATGTTATCTTTTGATTTGAACTGGAAGTGAATTTTAGTATTAGTTGTTCATGAGGATATTACTTGAAGAAGTTGTTGCAAAGAATTGTCATGATTCTTGTTTGGTCAAACTATTTTTCTATGAGGTTGTGGTAAATGAGACTTATTTGTATTGAAAATGATTACTTATCTATGACCAAGTGATGTTTCAGGATTGATTAACCCACGTAAGAATTGATAGCACCTTATACGTTTTCATCTGATATGTCACAGCTTATTGACTCGCACAAATCATACAATGAAATCGATTGTCTAGCTTCACGGATAAGTTGTGTCAAGATACTTTGATCATATTGTACTTTATAAACTCCAAAAAATACTTCATATATTTGGTATGGTCCATTACATTCAAGGATCTGGATTTGAGCTTTGGTTTTGAAACAGGACTTCAGCTCACATATATGTTCAACTTTGTATAAAGTCAAGGAGCACCACAACAGAACCACGTGAAGTTTCTGTGGATTCCACATATTGGTTGGCTTCCGTAACCCTGCTCGTGGTTTTCATGTGGATCAATATGGAAGGTTTAGCGGCGTGGGCTTCTCGCGTTCATGGCTCTGTGGTGTAGTGGCTGACCACAAAGCTGTGGCTAAAGTTATAGCCTAATGTTTATCATAAGTTAGGCAGCAGGCTTCAGAGAGATTTGAAAGTTGAAACAGCACTGAACAACAACATTTATTGTTTAAATATGTTGACTATAGTATAAAGCTGGAGAATAACTCATCAATATCTAACTCCTGTCACTAGATCTGCGGGCTTTTCTGGGTGACTATTTATGATCTTTCCGCTGTTAACTTCAGCAAGACTTTTGAACTTTCATTCACTCTTCAACTTGTGAAACACATTTATCTTTTGTTTCTGTGAAATATGTTGTGGAATCAATCGATCCCCATCTTTCATCTTTTGCTCGTTATCCTACTGGCCGGAGATCTCAAGTCTCATATTTCCGTGATTGCTGATGCTATAGAATGTCACTACGGTTGGAGTGCAGGCACCCGGGATAGTCCATATTGTCAGTCAAAAATCTTCTTTCAGTGTGATGGTTTCACTTCAAAGTCTTTCAATGATCTTTCATTTTGGATAGTCTGAACTGACTCAAGACTTCAAACAATTTGCCGAAAAAATTCATACTCAAAGTGTGTCAAGTATCAGCCAACTCAACGCATAAATGCAAATGGTGTGGAAGGAATGATGGTCTATTGCCCTGTATGTAAAAGAAAATTTTCTCGTTTTCGATCAATGGACAATGTAGATTGGCTTCTTACCTTTTGGTGCGAATCACACAGCTGCTCTTAACTGCGTTGATTTGGCCGGACATCAAGTGGGCGGGGGACAATCATGGAATTGCAATCTCGGAATTACCGTCGATAAATACACGCGCAAAGACGGCAGACAAATCCGTCAGTCATTTTGCTTGTTTCACCTCAAGATACTTACCATTGGATCCAGAGATTTCAGTGGAACGTCTTGAAGCCTTCACGGAAAGTTAACATACTACATTCTCATAGAATACTGATGTATTCTATTTGGATTGTTTCATGACTCTTGAAAACAAAAGTTTGCCAGCACATCGTTGACGCACATGGAGGGTACCAATCGTACTATTGCAAAGACCCCAATAAAAACCAACGTCAGTATAACTTTTAGTACTTGTTTTCAGTCAATCATATGAGATTCACTTATCACTAATTGCTGGTCATGTCTATGGGTTAAACTTGAATGGTGTTTGTTATGGCCTCTAGAATGTCCGCGGGAATTGTGTACCAAATAACATGTTGCATAAAACATCACTATTGAACACACCATGCTGCTGCATCAGTCCTGTGCGGTGAATTTCACAGACAAAAATCAATAAAGAAACATGCAACCTCTTTTGACAACTTCCTCCTTGATCAGCCAAAGGAGTGCGCATGGGTCTATGTCAATACCAGGGTTGGTTCGGATTCTACAATACTAGACTGTTTTCTGAAAGATGTAAAATAAATGTATGTTCTTTTTTGACACCAAGGTGAAATCAAGATGTTGTCATAATAGTCTTGTATATCAGTTCCACAAGATGCCTAAGTTGATAAAGCGTTCCTCTTTTTGTTGGATCTTGTTTGACCTAAAAAGACTTTGGAAGCACTTTGAGATCTCCTCCAGATGATAAGACTTCCACAATTGGAATGACTTGCCACTCATAGCGATTCTTGTAGGAACTTTGTTGGACTCTTCTTTCAAACTAAAGAAAATATGCGGAAAATTGATAACATGCTTGAAGATGTCAACTTCATGAGGTTATGTTTGCTTGAGAAGCACCACTCTTGACCATCTCTGTATCTCCATACTTGAAGTACACTTGAGTAATCATTTGGTTGGATTCTTCAGCATGTCAACTCTTGTGGTAGAAGTGAACCTCATTTACAAAGGCCAGGAGGATCTTCTTTGATACGTCTTGAATAGACCTCCAGACATTCAGGATCACCTTTACTTTCCTTCAGACGTTTTCTAAATTGGACCTCACTTGTATCCTGTAACCGCAAACACAGCTCTTTGATTTTTACTTTGATAAATGTGCCCCCCTCCGATGACATATCAAAGTAAATTACTGGAAATTTACCCATTGATTCAGCTTCAGGTGAGCTAAAATGTCTAAGCTTGGAACCGCTTGCCAGCGCTAATTTTTCTCCTGTCATAACTATTTGAACTCAACGAGCTCCTTTTGTTATGATTTTCAAAGAGATTTTGGAACTTGCCTTACAGATCTTTCACAAGGGCAACAGGGTCTTTTTTAATCCATCTCCGTATTCATCTGATTCTACCACGATTTCAAATCCTTTCATAGTCCTTAACATGAGTAAATCCGTATGTTTTCATATAAGGCCTCCCTTCAACGCTACAGGGGTCTTGAAGAGGAACTCATTAGCGGTGTACAAACCTACGACCCAACTTGAAAACCCATGAGAAAAACCCATGAAAACCCAACTTCTTTTTGGGTTTTTTTCATGGGTTTTCAAGTTGGGTCACCCCGGACTGGTTTGAATGCCCCAACACCCATCACATCCTGAAACATGCCCAGAGTCTCAGGCCGTAGGCAGCTCCTGTCGTCACTCAACGCTTTAATCTTACTTCACATATCTCTTCTTGTCACCACAACCACTAACTCCACTAACTCCAGTTTCCTTCAAACTTCAATTGCTTGTCTGGTAATGGTGTCCTTCATGAAATCTGACGACGACAGCAATCCAGACGATAATATTGGATTTGAAGAACGACTTATCATTTTTGCTTACACAGTCATGATGATATCATCTATGAACCAGCGTGCCTACATCCAACGACAGAAGCGAAGATTAGAAGAGGAAGAATCAATTTTAGGAGTGCTATTGATGATACGGGAAGAAGCCAAAAGGAGAAGATACCCACTACCTAGACTTCGCCGGCCTCGTATTAGTGAGAAGGCTCGAGCTTTTCAATCTTGGTTTGATGAGACTGATCGCACATGGTTCATGGCTGTAAGCTCGAGTTAAGTATATACATCTCTGTGATTTTAAAATCTGATCATCTTCCTTTTCAAACTGTGTTAGGCACGCATGTCGAAGGATGCCTTTACCAAGCTTCTCCACCGAATCGGATGGTGTCCTATCTTTCACAATAACTCGTCTTGCAATCAGGCACCGGTCCAGTGGCAGCTGTTAGTGGCTATGGCTAATTTAGGCTTATACGGAAATGGAGGATCATGTAGTATGAAGGCAAAGACATTTTACGTGTCAGGTATGCAGGAACTTTCTGCTGTAACGATCTCGAATGATTTAGGACTGACGCTTGGTTCTTGATTTTGGCAAGAGGGAAGTGTTGAAAATTATACGAAACACTGTATCCACGCTATTCTCGAGCTTGAGCCAGAATTTGTACGATGGCCAAATGCCCATGAACGAGCTGTAATCAAGCAACGTATCGGTACAACTTCTTGGCTCAAAGATTGCATCGGTTTTATCGATGGAACCTTAGTACCTTTAGCCTACGCTCCCTCCAAAAACAAGGAGGATTACTACACCCGGAAGTCAATCTATGCTTTGAACTCATTAATAATATGTGATGATAATCGAAAGATACTGTACGCTCACCATGGTTGGTGTGGTAGTGCCCACAATCAACGAGTGTTGAAGTCAACTCGAGTAAGTCATTTTCCTCAATTGAATCTTCTTCTCTGCATCCGACCTGATTCTCTATGCTTTAGTTCTATCAGGAAATCTCGTCTTTCTTTTCAGAGGGAGAGTACATCGTTGCCGATTCTGGCTATGCTTCGGTGGAAAACATCGTCCCAGTATTCAAACGATCGCGATCTGGCCCGCTTTCAGCTGCCCAAACTCACTTCAACAGCTCGATTTCCAAAATCCGAATCGCATCAGAACATTGCAATGGAATGTTACAGATGCGATTCGGGTCCCTTCACGAGCTGCGACTATCGATGGGCAACTCGAAAGATGCCCAATATGTATGTGACTGGATTTCCGCATGTGTCGTCATCCACAACTTCCTCATTGTGGATGGTTCGGCGATGTTTGGAATCTCCACAACCAGTAACTCGGAAGCGATGGACGACACTGCAACCCAAGCCCAAAGGCTTGCTTATTTGGACTCTTTGGGCAATTCACGCCGCGATTGTTTGTTTCGTGCTTTCTGTACCGATAAAGGTTATGTTTGATTTGTATCTCAAAGTTCTTTAAGAAGTTCTACACGGTTGTATACTCAAAGATTGTCAAGTTCATTTAGAGGAGTTCTTTGTGATTTGATGGATATCTTTTTTGTAATCAAATGATATCTTACTCTTATAGGTCTCATCAAAATGATGCAAGTGAATGAAGTCCTGATTTCTTTTGAAGCAAAATCAGTTTCAATTTTTGCATTTTGAAGAGTTTGAAACCAAGCGAACAGCCAGAGAGAAACATATAACAAAACACATCCTTTTTTAAATTTTAAAACAACTTTCGAATTTTTGAGCCAAAGACTCAAAGAGAAATCGATCGCAAAACACACAGCATCCTTTTTTTTCAATTTAAAACAACTTTTTAATTTTTGAGCCAAACACTCAAAGAGAAATCAATTGCAAAACGCACAGTTTACTTTTGATAATAAGAGACATACAACTTTATATTATAAAATTTATAATTGTTTTAACCCACCATACATCAGATAGCGAAGCCGCATATAACAGATACAGCCCTTGTTTGAATTTCCTAAATTTAATGTTTTATGTTGAGTTCAAGATCAATAGCAGGACATGGACATGAAAAAATTGAATCGATCGTGTTATTCCTTTGATGTAGAGAGGTTAGTCAGATCGAGAGGCTGTTCCAGAGGGCTCGGCATCAGGTATGGATGTTTGAGATGGCTTGACATCTGGTATCGCACGCAAAGCCAAGGCCTCAGCCATCGCTGGGTCTACGTTGTCTCGGATTAAGTCCACCACCATCTTCCCACGAGCAATTCGCAGCTCGACATTCAGTTTGGAGATTTCGACGTTTTCTTTTGAGGCCAGTTCTGTAGCTTGACTACTCTTCATCATGTTAGACATCTCCTTGGTGAAGTTGGTGCTAATTCGCTCTTGGGATTCATTAGCGCGAGCTTCGCTCGCTTCTCGATCTTCTTTGGTGGGGAGGCGATTCAGTGCAGACATAAAATCAGAAGAGTAATTAGGTGACTCTTTGGTGCCAATAGAGAAAGGAATATCTTTAGTATTCCCTCGGATACGCTTGCTAGGTGGATTACTAGGGGTGACCGGACGAGAATGTTTGGTGGTTTGAGAGGCTTGAGGAAGGCTGGATGGGGCAGATTCTTGGGACGCTGGAAGAATGTCTTCAAGCTGATGGCGTGGTGGTGTATCTTCCCACGTGTCAGGCAAAGTGTCTTCGATAGGGCTTTGAAGTTGTTCGTCTTTGTTCAACATCGAAGTTGAACCTTCTACTTGGTCGCCTATCGAGTCTCTAGAGGCTAAAGGGCTAGCAGATGGTCTATCTCGGAGTACAGGCTCCAGCTCCTCGTACCATGGGCATCTACGTAGTATTCTGACTATTGTACAAAGGTACTTGGTCAGTCTGAATGAAACAAGGATTCACAGACACACTTACCTTCAAGACTTCCCCCTTCTTCTTCTTCGCCTTTCTTTACTCTCCTCTTATTCCATTTGAATGCCGCGAGCTCCTCCTTTGACACGTTGAACTCGACATCAGCATCTTGATTGCCTTCCCCTGTCGCGGTTCGGAGTTTATTTGCGTCGTGGAACCACTGCACAAGCGTTCCAATCTACATATCCAAATGAAAAGTTAAGACAGATCGAAAAAGCTACATAAAGGCAGCAGACTTACCTCTTTTTCACACTCACGCCCTCCTCTGTCTGCATGCCCCTGTGAAACAAGGAAAGCAGCAACTCGATCACGAACAACACTCTTCTGTTGTGTTCGCCATTCGTTGTAGTTCTCAAAATTACTGCACCATTCAGCAATGAGGTCGATGTCCGATTTACCATTGCTTTCAGGGGTGAACCAGCATTTTCGACGCTTGGTGACATCTGAGTCTTCATCATGATCATTCTGAGTATTATCTTGAGAATCTAGTGTCGTATCGTTCTGAGTATCAGACTGGGGTGGAGACACTTGCTTGGCTTTTGATTTTCGGGGAGGCTTCTGAGAAGGTGGTGCTGGCGTTTTTCGAGGTCGACCTCGTGGCTTCTTAGGTGGGTCAGAAGGATCCATGATAGAAATGGAAGGTGTAGGCTGGTTGGCTGGTGGATCAGATGAGTTGATGACTTGTTGAAGACGTGCCCAATCTGCTGGTGAAAGAGTTGGGATGACGAAAGGGGTTGAAGTGGAATTAGGGCTGGATTCCGCTGTGTTTGCGCCAAAAGAACTTGAAGGGTTCTGAACAGAGTTCGACAGAGACGGAGTTGGTGTGGAAGTGGGACTGTTTTGGGGAAGGGTTTGGACAGTTTGGACATCTTGCGTCGGCAAGGAAGGGGTAGTTGAGTCCATATCGAACTCAACTATTTTTTTTTCAACAAACGGGTGATCAGATTTACCCAATTTCAACCCATCAGAAAAAACCCATGAAAAAAACCCAAAAAGAAGTTGGGTTTTCATGGGTTTTTCTCATGGGTTTTCAAGTTGGGTCGTAGGTTTGTACACCGCTATTGTGTATGTGTTTCATCAATAAATTTTTGGAAAAGTCAAAAGAAACAAACTTGTCAATTGTCTCTTGGACCTATTTCTGTTTTTTTTGGAAAAAGGAAAATAGAGAATCATAAGTACTAGCTGCTTGATGCAAGACATTTAGATGACAATGTTTGATGAGATTGTTCTTTCTGCCAGTGACCAAAGAATTCAAGTACGGAAAATTCACAAGATCAATGGTTTTCTTGATGATGCAAGAGTTTCAGTAAGACTCTTTGGTGGGATGATTTCATGTAAGATGATGCTCTTTCATGTGAACAGTTTCTCAAGCCAAGGCTTGCAAATGGAATCACTTTTTGAGTGAGCTGTCGTGGAAGCTATCGGTTTATACCCATATTACTGAGACATATGGCCTTATACAAGTTCGTCAGGTGAGATGTATTGTACAGAACGGAGGGGTTGAAACGAAACCTAGTTCAAGACAGGTGGTGAAAAAATCGAACAGAGGAACTTCCTAGCGAAATATAGAAAAGGAACTCGATAACATTTCTTAGATCAACTTCACTTCACTTTTAACAACTATTCATATCGATCTCAATCTTGAAAGCGGAAAAATGCCATCAGAGGCAGACGCAGCTCGACCTGCATTCGTATTACCCCAAATCAATGATCATCCAGACGCATGGGGTCCATCGCCCACGGCTCTACCTGCACAATTCAAAGAGTTCAGTGTAATCTCGATCCGAAACTCTTTATCTCTTGAGCATATCACTAACATTCCATTTTCAAACCGATCAGTATCCCCTATGCCCCTTTTTCAAAATCTGACAAGTTAGGACGTGTGGTGGACTGGAATGCGGATCTGGCTCAGCCCAACGTTGGTGCTAATGGCTATCCACGTGGAAACTTTCGATCCCAGCAACGTGGCCAAGGTCGAGAAAACTATGGTGCTGGTCAGGCTGGAACGTTCGCTTACTTTCACGATGAAGATGAAGCAAGTTTCAATCTTGTGGGCGGTGGTGCGAGCTTTAGTCGTGGTGGCGGTGGTGGTGGATTATTAGGCAGAGGCGGAGGTCGCGGTAGGGGTGGAAACCTCCGAGGTACTTCGGGTCGAGGCCGCGGCATGTCAGACCGGAACGATCGAGGTGGTGCACGAGGTGGGGTTGGCAGAAGGGGTGGTCAATGGGGAAGAGGCGGTGGAACGTGGAAAGGTGATTGGAATGACAGGAATTCCAGAACTCGTGAGAGTACCGTGGTGGTTGGACCAGAGTGGCAAGTGCGTGAGGAGATTGAATTCACTCGATTGGCCAAATTACGTCTTGAAGTAGATATCGATGAGGTCCAAGATATGTTGAGTATAGTTCCTCTAGCTAGTCAACTCGCCATAAGAAAACTAACTTAGTTCATTCTACCCTTGATCACAGTGCAAGCTACGGATTCTTATACGAATACGATCGTGTGTATGATCGAATCAATACCAAAAATCCTCAACCTCTCCAAATTTTGGATCGATCGCGTTATCATCCTACCGCTTCTGAAGATCCTGTCATTCAAGACTTGGCAGCTCGCAATAAAGCTAGAGTTTTCACTACCGATTCAGTCTTGAGTTTATTGATGTGTGCAACCAGATCGGTTTACCCTTGGGATATAGTCATGATCAAGGAAGGTGATAAATTATTTATGGACAAGCGGGAAGGTGGACCATTCGGTACGTTTGCTTACACAAGCACATCAATGAGGGACTCGTTTGTTGACATAAGCCTTTGTCTCGCACAGATTTCCTTAGCGTCAACGAGAACGCTGCTGACCCTCCATTGGAATCGGACAAGCCTGATTCCCTCAACACGCCTTCGGCTCTCTCCTTGGAAGCTACCTTTATCAACCAAAACTTTGGCTTACAGGTGGTAAAGGAAGACCCTGAAACAGTCTACCAATTCGAAAACCCGAACCCTTTCTATGGATCTGATGAAACAGAACCGTGCGCTTCGGCTGGACTAAGGTACCGGAAATTTGATCTCAGCTTGAATGAAGAAGAAGACCTCAGTATCATCATTCGAGCCGAAGTGGATGCCGTTTTACGTGGCTCAAATGCCTCAGTCAATCCAAACGCGGCCAAAGAGCAAGGTACCCAAGAAGAAGACAACTTCATCACTATCCGTACATTGAACGAGTTTGATTCCAACAGTCAAGGAAGCGGTGGTGCACCCAACTGGAGAACTAAACTAGACAGCCAAAGAGGTGCGGTTGTTGCGACTGAAATGAAGAACAACTCTTGCAAGCTCGCGAAATGGGCAGTGCAAAGCATCTTGGCCGGTGCTGATCAAATGAAGATGGGGTAGGAGGACTTTTTTGAATTGCAGTTTGATCTCTGTGGCTGTATAAATTCACTGACGTTTTCTTCGATTCAGTTACATCTCACGAGCTAATCCGAGAGACGCATCTAGACATGTCATACTAGGCCAACAATGGTTCAAACCCAAAGATTTTGCGTCTCAGATCAATGTCAACCTTGCCAACGGATGGGGGATTGTAAGAACGTTTGTTGACTTGGCACTCAAATCGCCCGATGGTAAATACCTCTTAATGAAGGATCCTAACAAAGTAAGTTATTCAATCCTACCGTCATCATCGATCTTCGTACTGACCCATATCCTTCCCATTAGCCTGTTGTTCGGTTCTACAAAGTCCCGGAGAATGCTTTTGATCTACCAGAGGATGAGGATGAACAGGAAGATGATGATGATGAAGCTGAAATCGATCTTGGCACATGATTTATAAGTCCAGTACTATTGTCAATCAAAACCGTGCTTGTCATCCTAAAATGCACATCATAACGTAAGAGTGCTTCGAGTGATTTGTGCAGTCACTGTCTGCTTGTCCATCTTCCTGTGTTCCTGCAAGTGATGTACACTCAAGTTGTGCATTCAAAGGAACAAGCCGGGAAACGTGCTTGTCATCTTGATATGCACCCCATAAGATGAGAGTTCATCAAGTCGTGCAATTACTGCCTGTCTAACCATCTTCCTGCATTCCTGCATGTGATTTGCGCCTCAGTTGCGCATTCAACACTAAACAAGTTGGTGCTAGATGATGTACTTCCGAGACCTGACACTTCAGGTCAAAGAACATCAACTCGATCTACCCGAATCGTCACTGCTGAGCTCGCGCGGGTAGATATCCTCATTGTTCAGGGGCGGTTTGTTGAGAAAGTGTATTGATAAACATCTCGAGTAGTGAGACCCAGCGAGGAAAGATATGCGTACATAATCCGCTTCATCCATCCATGAAAGATTGACAATTATCTCTGAGCGCGTGCTTCACTTTACAGCGTAGTTTCGCAGATGCTGGAATGTAGATATTTCGAGCCCTCAGATATATCAGTCTCAGCCTGTCTCAACACACCGCAAGCCTCGTTGTGAGGCAAGTGAAGTTTTCTACCACTCATGCCTCCTGTGTTTCGGTGCTTATGATTTGATCGCCCAGCGTGATGTCAAGCTGGGTAATGGTGCTAAAGCATAAATACTTTGGCTTTAGTTGATAACTTGCCGTATGTCCTGAAGATCGCCACGGGAATCCAACATCCTGCTCCACCAGTCTTTGAAAGTTGAAGATAAAGATTTTCGAAATTACTCTCAAGTACAGGCTCGTAAGGCAATATATCAGTTGAAGAGCACCAAATATCAATCTGAGTGAAATCAACAATCGCTTACATTGAGCTTCAGTTGAGTTTTGTTGGTTTTCCGGTGACCCTGTTTTATTGAATTTAACAAGAAGATTGATTCTCAAAGGCCCTTTAAGATGGAACTCGCTTCATCTCTCGCCTCAAGATTTACCAGGATTCAAAACAAATGTCCATACTTCTTGATGCACTACAAGTGATTTGATGAAAGTGCTGTGAATTCAGTTTTTCCCATCTGATGGCTATATATATATATTGATTGAGTAGGTCTGGCGGAATATTGACTTTGCCTTCTCTGTTCGCAAATCGAGCTCACGACGAGATGCATTTGAGAGTCAGCTTGTTACTTGTATTCACTTGCTTCTTCATCCAAACCAGTCCAGCATCTCGGCTTCCGAATCGAAATTTACTCACCACTACTAGTACAGTACCTGGAGAAGAAACCATCACATGTAATCATCAATCACCTCTGATAATGAAACGAGAAAGGATCATAGAATTTATTCAATCGTTTTGTCTAGAAATCATGGGTGAAGAATTCGGAGGAACTCAAGCTCATCTGGGGATGAAAGAAATCTATACGATCATCCCAAACCCCATCAATCCAAAAGAAGCCACTCATCTGATCTTAGAAACCAAGTCTGTAAATCGTTGTAGGTTTTCAGTTGATGATAGTTGTGGAAGATATTTAACTAGACCAACAGATGAATGTAATATTGGTGAAGAAGATAAACAAGGAGGAATGGTCACTGATGGATGTTCGATTTGGACAGCTAAGCCAATTTGATGGGTTTGAAGAGCTTTTATTTTAAATTATTAAAAGGTAGTCCGTATTCTTTTCTACCGTTAAGTCAGTTTTGGTCAGATTGATCCTTATTAATGAGATGATAATATTTTTGATCTTCTAGGGAGGGAATCCATGGAGGGTTATAGACACTTGAACACATGTGGTCAGTCCTCACCCATCCTTTCTTCATCAATTCATCAGTCTTTGTGATTTAGATTCAATCAGCTCATCTAGGTTTTGATTGCAATAGCTGATGATTGATAAAAGTGTTGATAGAGTAACATAGAGACCGTTCAAAGATTCCAAATTTCTCTAAACGCTATTTTCAACGAGTTTTCATTTTTTTTTCTCGAGTAGATTTAAGGAATCAATTACCTATTAGAATTGTTATGGTGTTACCATTTCCTGTAAACTTGCGCGCTGAAACCAGTCCGTCACTTGTTTTTCAGGGGCTTCAACTGGTGCATCAATTGGTATTGAACAGAACTTATAAATAATATAGAAATGCACTGTGGTGGATGCCTACCTTCAGTCTATAATTCTTGTTGGAGGAAATAAAAGGAGGAGATCAACCAAGTATTTTTTCTGTTCAAGGTACGTACGTCAGCCAGAGGATGGTGTACTTCAGTCCTGTGACCATCAAATTCACATCATTCTTTATCAGATCTCCCAATGAGATCACTTATGATAATCATCTTGACCAATGAATTTTCCCAAAGATGAGCCTACTCCAAGCCCATGAGATTTTGCAGTCACATGAATTGGATTGTAAGGCCAGTTATAGCTTCCTCTGAATACATGAATGGATTTCTTTCAAGGTGCTAAGTCATTAAAGACTATGGATCTCAGTGCTCAGAAATTTAACAAGCAATCATTCAACAAAGTCTACTTTGACTTGAGGTGATTCAACTTGATAAGAAATCAATTTACTTGGATAGGTAAAACAATCATTTAACTTTCTTTAATAGATCTTTTGCCATCACACAGAAAGGTGTCGTGAATTGGAACTGTGACCTTGAATCTTTTGGAATCTTGAAGTGTGGGTTTCTTGAGGATGACCTTTACCACTAGGGGGCCACTGAATACTTGTGGAAAGGAACAGATCTCTATCAAGTTTTTGATTATCTTCATCTCTAATAGCTATTCTAACATTATAAGATACTCAGCTTGAATTCAAGGTTAAAGTGGTGTGTATTTAGATTATATGATTTTAATGGTTCAACTTCAAGCTAGAAAAATACACTTGAACCAAGAAATCATCAAGACTTTCTCTGAAATCCAATCACTGATTAATTCCAAAGAGATGTATGACTTCAAAATAAACAATATGATAAAGATATCTACAGTCAATCTAGATTAGCTTGTCCGAGCAGATTTTATTTATTTATTTTTTACAGCAATACAGGTAAATCTATAAGCATAAACATATGATTCATGTGCTTATGTTTGTCTGGTCATGAGTCAGACCAACCACTGCTGACCACAGTCAACAGCGCTTCACTATTATGAACCTTCAGCACCGTACTTTCATCCTACACGCATCGATCCCATATTCCATTTCAGCCAAGGACCTCTAGTGTGAGCTTGACCTTGTCTTCTAGGCTTTGAATTCAATCTCTTTACTTCAATTCAGACCTCTAAGCTTCGATTTGGCCCTCTGCGTCTTCGATTCAACCCTCTATGTCTATTTGAGTCTATCGGTTTTGAAATCTTGGCTTTGATGCAAGTGAAGGGCTGTCTTTAGCCCGTGTTCTCACTTTTGAATCCCTTCTTTAGGCTCCAGATCCAACTCGTAAATTCAACTGTTAAGCTCTGGCCATTTGTTGACTAACTCAATCGTTCCCTTCTTATTTATCTTCCTTAGCTTTGAATCTGTCACATCAGATCAAATCCATTGTCTCAATGTTCATTCTGCTTGTATCTCATCTAGCCTCAGCTTGCCATTGGGATACAGTCTCTTCATGTGGTGCTTCAATCGCTTTCCAAATCCATTGATACCATGCCAGAAAGTGAGGAGATCGTGTGCAATGATCATGGTCACAGATAGGCAGAGTGCCAACAGTTCTTAGATCAAGTCATAGATCGTGTACTCCACACTGGAGTATGCAAGGAAGCCAGCAACCACCAAGTATGATCTCAGGTCCTACTGAAAAGGAAATAAGACAGTTCTTCATGACCGCAAAGTAAGAAAGTACAGTGCAAGTCTTTAAGCATTTGCAAGAGGTTTGTGCATTCTGAGACTGTGGGCCTAATGAACTCATAGGCGACAGAAAAAGCCCAGAAATTATATCAACTAGACCTGAGGATGATGACAGTAAACAGTTCATGTTATTGAATTGATTGAGCATTGGGATGACAGGTACAAAATTCCTATATACAGATAAGACACTGATTTTTTCTCGAGAAGCACAGCGAAATCGGATAGCAAGAAAAAACAATATAATGAGATCCACAGACTGGGTAAGTAGCCTCTTACTGATGATTTGCAATAAAACAAGATCGATCCTCGCCGCTGGATTGGATCTATTAGATTGCTGGATCCCCAAATTACTCTAGAGTGTCTAAACCAAAGACCAGGGCTTGAGTTGACAGGCAGAAGGGAGTCCAAAGAAATGTAACATTTCAATTAGCGGGGGTTTAGTCGGTGAACAGGACTTAAGTCAAAGAAAATACACACCCTGAATTGGTAATAAGATAGGGAATTGAGTCGATGAGCTTGGAGATATCTGATGAATGGACCAGGACATTGGACCGATTGGACAGACAAGGAAGATATTCAAAGATCAGATGATCGATCGCAATATGAGAACAATATTCAAAGAGCTTACTTGAGTCAAAGCCGAGTTGTTACAGCCGAGATCGAAAGGGTGGTTGGATCGCGGGATGAAAGCCTAGATGATATGCACAATTTTCAAAGGATAGTTAGTGACGAGGTAAAGAGGATTCAAGTGATTTAAGGATGGGTTTGGACGGAATGGATTGATGCTGATAGATGCTGATCAGTCAGAAGCTTGAATCGTCAAAACGGGCCCATTCAACTGAATGTGGTGTCGCAGTTGAAGGCTATGTATGCTTATAAAATGGCCTGTATTGGCCTGTATACGTCTGAAAATAAAAATAAAAATTCTCGATTGGCCAAGCTAATCTAGATTGACTGTAACAGATCATCACTTCTATCACTCTTTGATTATGGTCTAAAGTCTTTAGGGCCCGTTTGGTTGCGTTTATTTTACTGCGATTATGCGAATACCACAGTCAAATAAACGCAACCAAATTCTCACCGTTTGGTAACCCAAATATAGAGATTATCATACAACAGTATTCGGTTGATAATCTCATAATCTGAGTTATTTCCGTAAACTCTTTTTTGAGTTTATTTCCGATTGTAATCGGAATAATTCCGTACGTGAGACGGGGACTTGTCGATATTTCGACTTTTTCTTTCCTCATCACTCAATACCTCCCCTTTCCCTTCAACACCAACCCGTTTCATTTCTCTTTTTCCCTTCAACACCAACCCGTTTCATTTCTTTTTTTCCCTTCAACACCAACCCGTTTCATGTCTTTTTTTTTCCTTTTCCTGTTCCTTCACCCTTTTTTTGATCACCCCCAATAACAATTTTCAAATTCTTCGATCAAATTCTTCAATCCTGTTCTTCGATCCGACTTCTTCCAACCTCTTCTTCTTCCAACTTCTCACTTCAATTCCAACGTGTGCTTCTTTGGTTCTTCTTTGATCGAATACTTCAATTCCAACTTCTTCGATCAACTTCTCCAATCCTGTTCTTCGGTTCTGCTTTCCAACTTCAATTCCAACTTCTCCAATCCTGTTCTTCGGTTCGGTTCTGCTTTCCAACTTCTTCGACCAACTTCTCCAATCCTGTTCTTCGGTTCTGCTTCTTTGGTTCTGGTTTCCAACTTCAATTCCAACTTCTTCCAACTTCTTCCAACTTCTTCCAACTTATTTGAGCGAAATGCCGAAAGCTACCAAAGCCGATAAAGCTGATAAAGCTTCGAGCAGTTTGACGGCTCCGAACTGGACCAACTCGAAGTCTCGAGTGGTGCTTGATGGCTTGATAATGCAGAAGATAGCTGGCAAGAAGGCTGAATCGGGTTTTAAAAGCGAGGCCTGGACTGAGGTGACCAAGGATTACAATGCTCAATTTAAAACCGATCTTACCAAGGGACAACTCAAGAACAATTTTCAAAATGTAAGTCCATTCTTGTTTTGTATTTCAGTTCATCTCGCTAACTACTTCCCATTATGATACACAGTTGAAGAAAGCATATGCCATTGTACACGACTTGCGAGGAGCTTCAGGCGCTGGATGGAACGAGGCGACTCAGATGATCGAGGCAAGCCCACAGTTCTGGAAGGAGTGGAACTTGGTGAGTATCTCCTTGATCACGAGTAGTCAAATCTGATGCTGACTATGATTGATATTTGTTTGATTGCTTTAGACTCACCATGGCGCTAGTGTATACAAGAAGAAACCTTTCCCTCTTTATGACCTCATGCACGAGTTATGCGGTAACACCAACGCTTCAGCTGAAGGAATTGTTGGGACCCAGACGATTCCAACCAATCAAAACCAACCAGCTAGTCAAAAGGATGACTCTCGAGAAAACCAACCAGCTAGTCAAAAGGATGACTCTCGAGACAAATCACCATCGCCTAGTGAAAAGAATGTATCGGACCATGGTTCCGATGACAAATCGGATGTTTTCAAGCTTCCTCCACCATTGAAACGTCAAAGTAGAGCTTGAGGTAAGCTCTTTACCCTCTTCTTTTATTGTTTCTTTTCTCTTTTGATTAAACACAATGCTAACCACATCTGATTAATTAATCTCAGCTCGAGAAGCTTCTCTCTTACCTCATGAAATTGCATTGGACCCGGATGCTAACGACGACTCTGACGATGACGGTATCACTCAAACTGCGGCAACTCCGACTCCCAAAGCTCGATCTTTCAGCAAGAAGCCAGCTCCCCGTGTCAGACCAAACACAAAAGCCAAACTCGCCGCTTCTTTGGACAATTCAGCTGATCTACTCAAGACCCAGGCTACTCAAGCGATTGAACGCGAGAAATTGAAAGCTGAAGCCATCGCTGCTCACGATGCTGCGAAGGAACAGATCCTAGTTACTGCCGCTCGATTGGATCAAGAATCTCTTACCTTCAAATTCACAGCTGTCCCTTCTCAATACAAGGCCCTGGAGATCTTCAACAAGTCCTGGCGAGAGCACTTTGACGACACCGCAGCTGCAACTGAAGCAATCCTCCTGTTTGAACAGGAGGACAAGTGTCGAACTTTCATTAATTCCGATCCCGAGTTGAGATGGAGTTGGCTCGCGTTGAGCCTTGGGTATAGAATTGTACCCAATGTCCAAGATGGTGGTCAAGCTGCTTAACATCAAATTCAAATTTATATCTTAAATTACATTATGATCAGATATTATATTATACTTTGGTTTTATTTTATAAAATGCTATTGTTTTACATGATACAAGGTTGTAATCTACAAACTGTCCTGTCCTGGTTTAAAAAGTTTGTCCGAGTGAAATAGATATGTTTCTAGTCTGCTTATTGGTTTGAGAATGAAATACATGAATGTTATCTTTGTCCAAGTGTTGTCCGAGTGAAATAGATATGTTTGTAGTCTGCTTATTGGTTTGAGAATGAAATACATGAATGTTGTGTTTTTGATTTGAAGATTCTAGCCTCAATAGCGAGGGTGAGCAATGTAAGCAGCCCACATATCCATGGCCATCTGATCTCTATCATCGGCCGCCTGAGTTCGAAGACCAGCGGATGCTACTTGATAAGCATCCACTTGTTGATTGGGCCATTCCTGAGCCTGGTCTTCATCGTCCATAAAGAAATCGGCGCCTCCTTTCTTAACTATTATATTATGTAAAACACACATTGCTATGACTAATGTAGATTGCAATTCAATTGAGAACGAGTGCATATTAGAAAGCATCTCGAATCTCTTCTTGATTACCCCAAAGATGCGTTCAATCGCATTTCTTAAACTTGAATGCCTTAAGTTAAACAGTTCTTTATAGTCTCTGGGCCCAGCATTACCTTGGGCCCATTCTTGTAGATGATATCTTACTCCTCGATAAGGAGTTAAGAAACCAGGTTCGTTTGCATACCCAGCATTGGCAAGGTAGAAACGACCTATCAGAAGGGAGAATAGTCAGTATTGGAATATACGAAAGGAGGTAAATGACGTACCTGCTGGGACCACAAACCTACCCTGCTGCCGAGCCACCTCCAATACTCTGGCATCGGCAGCAGAACCTTTGAATCCAGCCAGAACAAAGGTGAACATTAAGTTGAATGAACACCCAGCCAGGATGTTCTGGCTCAAAAACCCTTTTCGATTCCGGTAAAGCTCACGTTCGCTGTTCCGAACTACAGCTCCGATGTGGGTGCCATTGATGGCACCTATACAATCTTTAAACCAAGGATATCGCTTGGAATCCAACACAATTTCAGGTGGACAAGGCGTTTGGGGACCAGGTTGTCTTATGAATCTATCCGAAACTTGCTCAAGTGCATTTGCAACGATGTGAAAGTATCGGCTCGTGGTTTCCTTCGAGTGTTGAAATCGTTCAGAAGTCATTCGATTTGAAGCATGATTTCCTATAGTGTAAAGGAACATCATGACTTGCTCCTGAGTATCGATGTGAATCGAAGACGTGAGGTGTTCATCCAACACCTCCATGAGGGCAAGGAAGGTGGTCTTGTCCATGCGACAGACCTCAAGGAATCAAACGGGACTTCCGTCGAACACCTCTTGAGCGTACTGGTGACCTCGGAGTCGAGACGTACGGCAGGGGATGCTTGGAGCCAGCTCAGCAGCCAGGAGTTCTTGGGCTAAGATGATATTGTTCTCAATTTGCTCTCGGAGAGCGTCTTCATTACCGTCTGACTTGAATAAATCTTCACTTCGAGTCGTGAGAAACAAATCCAAGCTATCGATGGATGCAGTTGGTGATAGATAGTCGGACATGGTTGTTTACCAACCAATGTCCGAATTGGAATCACTTTGGCATTGAAATACCAAACGATTATCCCTGGAAACCTCTCATTACCTCTCATCTCGTGATTATTTGTGAGTTGCAACTTTTACTGCATTTTCAGGTCACTTAATGCAGTGTACTTTTACTGTAGTACACGATAATCTCCGGCAACCAAACGGGCCCTTAATGATCCTTTTAAATTATTGAACGATTATATGTAGTACACAAGCTGATAGGTCACATGCTTCATAAGGATCATGGGTACATTAGGTTGTGGGCAACAGGTTTTGGTGGGTTTATTTACAAATCTGAATGGGTTTTCTGAAGTCAGCTTTGTGATACTTGAAGTTCCAGTGGTAAACTAGATGTATATGATCAATTTCACATTGCTCATAAGATGTCATTCAGATACTTGATTTTAGGAGGAAATGATGATCAGCATGAAAAGTGAATGAAAGAGTTTCATAAGAAACAATCTCATTAATTAAATAAAACATCATCAAAGGTTTTGATTTTGCTTGTGAAACAGTCATGAAGCCTTCCTCAGAAGCCATCAATACACTCTTTAGAATCTCTTTGATGGAATTAATTTTTTTTACACTTTTGATCATTAATTCCAATTTTCAGAATAAGTTTGTAAAGGATGATTAACGATTTAGATTAAAAAAATAGATTTTGAGCTATACATATTTAATGAATTCCTTGCAGATGGGTGTGATAGGATCAATAAGATGAAGCATGTTTTTCAGTGCGTTGGGAAGACAAGTGTAAGAGTGCATACATAGGAACCAATACTAGTGCATATAAAGCAGTCAAGATGAAAAAGTCAAGAATTTTATCCGTGAGATGATCATGAATTGAGATGATGAAAAAGAGGTACCGATTTGGCAGTTAGGATCGATGAGAGGAGAGTTGATTTACAGTTTGCATGACAACGGAACAGAACTGAATGAATGAGATGGAAGATGATTTTGATTTGAACCCGGTTTCGATAGGGTGAAATGGTTTGAGTAAGTATTTGTTGTTGAGAATCATCTTCTGAATGAGGGGAAAGGGTAAAGGTTCAATGAATTGTAAAATTGAATCAGGTTCGAGGATGAGAATCAGGATCAGGGCAGTGGTGTGGTGTGTATCAGGGGTATTTTTAATATTAAAATCCGAGCTGGTTTAATATCTTAAGGTACAGCAGCCTGGTAATCTTAATTTCAATTCCGAACCCACTCAAAACTTTATAAACACTTCACTCAGCTTCACTCTCAGGATCAGGTTCACCTTCAATCCAACGATTCGATTATCTTACAAAAACACATCAACATCAATCCAACCAATCAAAATGACTTCAATCAGTTCAGATCGATATGATGATTTATCTCGATTTTGTAAAACTCCAATCGACTCTATCATTTCCAAAATATCTAATCAACTCATTCATCAACTCAACTCGATTCATCCATCATCCACTTCAACTTACTTCTCTTCTTCTCATTCATCTCATCTATCTAAATTTCAAGCTCAATCTCTACCTACTCTTACCATTCATGCTTATCTAACTCGGTCTGTCTCTCTCTCCTTCTTTCATTCTCAACCATCATCTCTCTCATTCTGATGGCTTCTTTTTCTTTCAACTTAGTCTCATCACTCTCGCTCCAATCTCAATCGATTCAATCTTACTAGCATTACTCTATTTGAATCGTTCAACTACCTTATCCATCAATCTCATTCATTCCATCTCTCATAAATCTACACATGATTTACCTATCATTCCTTATGATCTCTCGACCATTCATCGGCTCTTACTCTCTACTCTCATGGTCGCAAACAAGTTTATCTCGGATCACTATCTATCGGCTTCCAGAGCTTCTAAAGTCGGCGGGGTACCTATCCCTGAATTAGCTTCATTAGAAAGATCTTTACTTTATTGTCTGGATTTTGATTTAAACTTTACCATGTCGGATTTAAATCAAGTGGCTCAATGGGTCTTGACGGATGATTCATCTGCTTTATCATCTCAATCAACCACTTCTACCATTCCTCAAGCTGTTCATCTACCTATTATCAATATCGAACAACTTGAGTTGAAGGATCAAGAAGAAGTGACTGAAGATCTCAAGCCGATTCATTCTCCACCTACTCTTTCAATCTCTGATCCATCATCTCGACCTTCATCTTCTCAAACAAGCTCTGATTCACTATGCTCATCTTCTCAACCATCTTGTCTGAGTCACTCAAACTCTGATTCTCATTCACCACTTCAACAACACTCTAGATCCCAATCGATCTCAGATCCCAAACCGATTCCACATCCCCAATCAATTTCAAGATCCCAATCCATCTCTCATTCAAACCATTCGATTCATCATTCCTTGAAACCTTTAAATCCTAGTACGGTGATTCCTAGAAGAAGAGTGTTTTTAAGAACTCATTTTGTTAAAGATCCAAGGTATAATACGAATTATTTGACCACTAGACCAAAGGTGGAAGAATATGAAAGTGAAGAATTGAAGAATCCTACTCGAATCGTTTTGACTAAGTTGGATTCTAAAGGTTTGAAGATTCAAACTGAATTATTAGGTGTTAGTTTGATTACGGGTGAAAAGATATGTAGAACGATGTCTACTCAATCTATTCCTTTATGAAATCATCTCCCCCTCCCATCAAAAAAAATCAATTGGTTTTCTTTTTGGATGGGAAGTGGGTTTTGTGGGGGTTTTTTGAAGGTGTGATTGTACAAGAATACTTTCTTCTTGGATCTTTTTTTTTTCGTTATTTTTCGGTTTTGTGAATGAGTTTTTTGTTTTTTTCAAAAAAAGGATTCTGTTGAATAAGTAGACTTTTTTTTTCGTAATTATGAAAAGGGATTTTTATGATTTATGATTTTTCGTTTTTGTGTATCATACACTAGACGTTTTTTTTTTTCGGATATTTCTTTGGATATTTCTTTTTCTGGGTTTCTTTTAAATTGGGTTTTCACAGTACGATCTTCAAATAGATATATATATTTGTTTTGTTTGGTTTTCTGAAAGAAATATATTGGGAATGACAGATTGAGATGAAAACTATTTGTATGATTTACTTTATAGAAAGTATTTAATTTTTGTTTTGGTTTTTGTTTGGTTTGTTTAAAATAATATTGATTTGTGTGAGTGTTTACCACCTTGAAAATAAATGATTGAATTGATGAGAGAAAGAGAAAGAAAGAGAGAAAGAGAAAGAAAGAGAGAAAGAGAAAGAAAGAGAGAAAGAGAAAGAAAGAGAGAAAGAGAAAGAAAGAGAGAAAGAGAAAGAAAGAGAGGAAATGAAGAAGGTTATTGATTGTGGTGTGTATGCGTCAGACTCTGGAGCTTGACTTGGTTTTCTTAAGTACAATGTATGATATGGTATGATAAAGGTAAGCTACATAAAAGAACTAGCTAGCTGCAAAGAGTGGTGGCTGTGTTTGATCACAGTGTCTTTGATACCCAAAAATTGAAAAAGGTCAATCAGTTTACATCCCACTCATTCAGCCTTGCTTGTTTGTAGAGGCTAGAAGGGCTTATAGTCAAGCTTCCTTGATTACCCAAATTCAATATATCTCATCTTATTATTCTTTTCTGTTTAGAAATGTCATTCACTGCTTGTTTTACCACTCAGATTGTCATCATCGTATCTGTAACTGCTCAAGATCATTATCTTACTAATGATATCGTATCAAACTACATACATAGGTTAATACTCAAGACTTAAGGTTTATTGAACTCTTTACTATGTACTGAGATAAAAAATTGAATTTATATGATATCCTTTTCAGGGTGTACAACAGTACAGACTTTGATAAAACTCTTAATGTTTTGCAGGTTTTCTTTTCTACATGAATTGATTTCTTGAAGTGTTTTTTTGAAAAGTTTGGATTTGATTTGTGGATGGATTTGAATTTGTTTTAGTTGATTGAGATCAGCCTATATATCAGCTTTATTGGAAGATGAAGTGAATACCAGATTTCTGATAGGTTTTTGTAGATTGGATTTTTAGGATGTTCTTCACTTGCTTTACCTATATCCTAGACTTACAAAAGCTTTTGGGTTTGGTTAAAGTGAATTTGTTTGTTTTATACAATCATACCATATCTTAATATGGGTACACAAATATGAAATCCGTATGGAAAAACTCGCATGGAAAACCCGCATTAAACCTTATGGTTTTTTTGGGTTTCCCCGCTATAACCTTTTAATCCTTACAAAAGCTTTAGATTGGTTAAAGTGAATTTGTTTGTTTATACAATCAATCAATCTATAATAAGTTGTATCTTTAAAAACAAACAAAGAAAAAAAAACCGTGATTATTTGATATCATTATGAATATGATTTTGTTTGATCATTTTCTGAGAGGTTTCTACATAAGAAGATTAAGATGATACAAATCAATAGATAGATACTTTAATTGGAATGATATAGGTGAATTTTTAATCAACATAGCTGTGAGATTTTTTCTGAAAGGTTGAGGGTTTGGATTAAATCTTTGAGAGATATGAATAGGAAAAAAGATAAGATCTGGACTGGGATTGGTCATCAATGCCTTTTAGTTTGTTTCAAGTTTTTTTTTTGGATACCAGATGTGTTGAAAGGTTTTTGATGTCTTGTCATGTAGAACACAAGATTTCCAATCCTCTCTTTACATCAGGTTCTTTATGTTGAAGGTTTTAGGTCTACGTGACACGCTTTTGGCTGTACATACATCACAGAGGTGAGTTTTGAACTCATGAAGTAAGGATCTATTGTTACAAGAGGAGATTAACTTACATTTCACTTTGATTTAAGTGCTTGATCTGTTTACTTGATAGCTCCAACCAGGGGAGACCTTTTTTGTCATGGAGTTTGGTCATGAGTATATATTGGAAGTTTTGAGCTCATGATCAAGGCCAGTTATTTATTGAGTTTATGATCTTTCTTCTTCTTTCCATCTGGTAGAAATTAGAGGATCATGTATTGGAAGAGAATATAAATAAATCGATTTGATATCACCTGATTTGAAAAACAAAAAAATCAAATCATCAAGAGAATGTTAGCAAAAAAAAATGAAAAAGGTTTGAATCAAGATTTTTCTTTTGAGATAAATATACCTTCAAGTCCATTAGAAAGATTTATAGAAGAAGCCGTAAATCTATTTGATTTGAATTCTTTAAAGATAGTTGGTTCGATACTGATGATTTGAGTAGCTGTACTTAAATGATGATGAAGAATAACAGAAATCCAAAACTCAAAAGCCATTGAAAAAACATGTTTTTGATCATCTTCAGGTGATTCAGAAACCTGGAAAAAGAATCAATCGAATCAAGTTTTGGTAATCAGTATAATCGAAAGAGAAAGAGAAAGAAACCAATGGACTAGAGAAATGATGGTAAAGCGAGAATGTAAGAAAGACTTTACCAGATCTGATTTGAGTTCTTCTCGTTCAGCTCGATCAGTAGATCTATGAATCGTGAATTCATAAGATAAATATTGATCTACTGGACTCCTAAGTTTTCTTTTAGTATCAAATGAATTAACAGTATGTTTTGTGATCCCAGCTGATGAATCAGTATTAACATATGCAATCAAGATCTCAGGAAAATTCGAATGTAAATCAACTTCAGCTCTTTTGACAACCGTTCCAATAGGTGCCCACATAATAATTCGTCTAAAGATTCCAGTACTCTCATCTCCTTCATCATTAACCATGATACCCCAAAAAGCTGACTTTAGATCAGATGATAAGTGTGATGGATCTAGATCAGTACTATTACTGTTGGTTGATTGAAATGTAAAACAATCCCAATTACTTCCTACTACTCCGTTTGCAATGGCTTTCGAAGTGATTTGTCGTAAGATCCTTTGGACCACTTTAAGCCATGCACTCGGTTTAAAGTGTTCTTCAAGTTGAGATTTCATTTTAACTACTGGTAATGAATCGTAATCTAAACCAGCAAGGATCTTGGGAATCCTTAAAAGCTTTTGAGGTATACTTGATCGTTTTCCTTTATCTGCCATTAAGTCTATAGGCATTCTTTTGACTAGACTAGGATTTGATTTCTTGGTGAGATCATTGGGGTTCTTAGATGAGGAAAGGCTGAAGAGATTAAAGCAGACAAGGTGGATTTCAACGCATGAAAGGATATCTTGATAAGTTAATTCATTATCGAGCATTCTTCAATGAAGGAAATCATTACCTTGGTGGGGAAAATCCATTTGTTGTCTCGGTGACTTGAACGGTGTTTTTTCCATCAAATGTAGATATTGATGAATGAATTGGGTCATCGTTTGCTTCCTGATCCAATATCAACTTTGAATGCCACGAAAAAGGAAAACGACAGTATGCATAAGTATGCTAGAGCCTATTTTTTCCTGAAAACATACATTCATCAAGACCAACCTGTATGCGCCCATCCCAAACATTACGAAGGGGAGCATTGATCACTAGAGTTTTCTCAGCATTCTGATAGATGAACCAGGACCCAAAGAAGTCAATCAATCAACAGATGATTCTAAGCTGTTTTAGTCATTCTATATAACCACAGTGACTTACCTGTGAGATAGTAGGACTTTCTGGTTGAGAATCGTTGCATATGTGTGTTGTCAAGGGTGAAGATTTTGTTGATATTGACGTCAAGAGGATGATCAAAACGGTGATGAGATTGAATAAGTTACATCTGGATCCATGGTACAAAGGAGCTTTCAAGGGAGTAATGGTCGAAAATGAATGATACCACAGTGAGATGATGATGAGAAAGGTGTTGGAGATGGAATGGTACCAAAGAAATGAGGTTGATCCTAACATCAGGTGGGCGAGGGATTAGAGATCAAAGTCGATTCGAGGACTTGCAAAAGATGTATGTATGATTGTGATTTCGATCAATTAGCTCTATGAGGGCATACTTGTATAATAAAAAGTGATCAAGTGGAAATTAGATAGCGATTGGTATGTCCAAAGTGGTAGCTCAATGAGAACATTGTACACATATGAGGGGGCGCAGACGAGTAATGGCAAAGTAAAGAATCCAGGAATGATAAAGTTTACATTACATTTCAATACTTGATCTGGATCATTCTCTTGGACCTGGTCTTACTGTTACATCGGTCGCAATAAGATATCTTTCCAAGCTGCTTGTACGTGATCTGAAGCGTTCAAAGAGTTTCTCATCATCGACTGTTGATGAGACGGACAAAAAGATCAGTGGATTGCTTGGCAGATCAGCTGATGGTCCCACCCAGATCACATTGCTGTCGGTTTTACAAAGCTTGCTGAGACTTCCAACCCTCAAATTGCTCAACTTTTGTGGGAAAACTTGAACATGCTTTTTCATCAAATCACTCTGATCTCAACGGGGTCTGCCGAGCCTTGCATGGCCACACACACACACTGACACAATACTTTTGTAGGCTATGAGCTGGATCCTTTACAACATGAGACGCAGATACATAATTGCTCATCAAACAGTCGGAACGAACGCAGCGATTTTATCACACGTCTCACGGCTCATTCATCCAAGGCAGGTGTAGCTTGGTGAGAAAAAGGCATATTAGCACTCCGCTGAGTAATGTCACGATTGCCCCTTGAAAGAATAAATTCCTTCCGTGAAAAAAGTTAATTCCGATCAATCAAGATCCTTCGATCAACGGTATCTAGAGTGTTCTCGATGTGACTTGGGCACACTGGTATTATATAAAAGCTCGCAGTGTTCCAGATAATCAGTTCACCAAGCTTACGGTCGGAACGATGGATGAGGCCAATATGTAAACCAGAAAAATAAATGTATCAAAGATGGTGTATAATTTGGTTTATACAACTGGACAATTTGACTCGCCAGAATCAGATGTCCAGTTCAGAATTACTCAGGTTTGTGTCTTTTGATCTTTCCTGGAAAATATTCTATACTTCTCAACACCGACTATTGTGATTTCTAATTTCATATCATGAAGCAAAAATTTGATTAAATATGATGTGTTCACTTATAAGCAGGTCTTTTGAGAATGGGGGTCTTCTTTGCTTAGGACTTCTTGAGCACTCAGTTCATAACTAACATAGTATGAGTAAACTTGTTTTCAAGGCTGACCATCAAGGAAATTTCGTTTGTATAATGATGAAACAGTTGTGTTTATTTATTGCAGCAAGGTTTTGATCATCATCCAGGTTTCAGTCAATCATTTGTGAATACACACAGCCAGATGATCGTGTGGCAAGAGATGAATTTATAAAGAATTGTTTTTTTCGATCGTATCAATTTTTGTAATGACTTGAAACAAAGGATGGAAATTTACGAGTTATGATCCATCCAGGAGGAAGTAAAATGCAATTGACTATATATGTATCATAAACATCGAAGTGATGAGCCTGCTTGACTAAATTGCCTTTTCAACTTCAACTCCTCTGAGACTTGATTGGTTTTCCAAAAAGTTCAGTAATTATTTATACATTCACATTTGTGCAGGTGCAATTTGCATTACTTGCCAAATGACTACAAGATTCGTATGATTTAATTTTTCGTGACTTTACCCAGTCAGAGATTTTGATCATCTTGGCATTTTCGTGTGGATCTGGCCTTTGATCGCCTGTAGTTTCGCGATTTGTGTCTATGGAATTCATTCTCAACCTTTTATTTCATCATGACCATACTTGTCACGAGCAAACAGACACTGGGTCTAGTTCATACCTACTCACATCGGCTTTTCACACAACCTCGCGGTGTGACCTCAATCACTCGCTAGACTAAGCCATGACAGTGCAGGTATCCGAAATACGCGTACTGAGTAGTATATTTGATGAAATAGCCACCAAGATCTAACTTATCTTACATGATACATACAACAGGCAACAACACTACTCTCTTGTGCGATCAGAACACGTAGGATGGTTGAGTTTGTGCTGTGAATCAGCCTTCAGGAGTTTCACATCGCTTTGCCATGAAAAGTGCTTCAAGGTGAATGAGTTTGGTCGCGCGAGGGAGATTCAATTTTAGGCCAAAAGTATAGTTTTAATGAGCATTGATGAGACTTGGCGCAGATCTTGGACCAAAGCTGACGAAGCTTTGAGACTCGATTAAGCGATGAATTTCCTGAGGAGGTTGTTAAGATCAGTGAAGGTAAGTGAAGATACAAAAAAGAGAAATGTCACGAACTTGAGAAATCTCCTATGAAACTCTGTTCTGAGGAGATCGTTAACAAATTCCTTCTTAGGTTTTTCGTTTACGTCTCGCGCTTGATTCTTAAAGATCACATCATCATCCCATCGTTTCTTGACCGAGAAGCTCGTAGTGGATGTGGAAACCGAATTGGTAGGTGAAGTGTTTCCATTCACATTGAGAGCTGCTTTCAGATTGAGTAGTGGATTTCCCATGGCAGCTGAAGTTTCTTTATCAACTGCATCTGTAGCAGCACGTTCTTGTTCCTGTTGTTGAGAGCAAGATGATGATGATGATCAATTGAATGTGAACAGATTGTAGTACTGATAAACTCGGATCTCTTACCAATCGCTCCTTCTCTTCTGCCCTTTCACGTTTAATCTTTTCTAGTTCTTTCAATAGTTCGGCGGTTTCATTTTCATCATCATCACTATCATCACTACTTTCATCATCATCGTCACCATCATGGTCACCTTGAAGAGAGTGATCATCCCCATTTTTTTCGGTCGCTTTTCCAGATTTTTTAGATTGCTTCCTATGATCTTCATCTTCATCTTCACTATCAGAGTCATCTTTATCAGCCAATAAAGCTTCTTCTAAAATCTTCCTTCTCTTCGCCTTAACTTCATCATCTTCTTGATCTTCTGTTGGTTGAATTGATTTTATTATAGATGATGATGATGATGACGATGGTTCTTCAATCAAAGGTAATAATCCAGCAGCTCTACGTTTTTTGGCATTGGCTTCTTTTTCTGCTAAGATTAATTCGAGTTTTAAATCTCTTCTTGAGATTTCATTGATTGAGTTTTGACCTGGTTGTCTATATTTTAATTTTGTATGTCCTGCTATATCTCTAGAACTATATTGTTTGGTATTCAATCTTGCATCTTTTCCCATCTAAGTTGTTTTTTGTTTTGGTAAAAAGATGGATTTAGAGTTAGTTAGTGGTTTGATCATGAGATTGAATTTGATGATCTAAAGATACGAACGGCTGGGGTCCATGTTGGTCGATGTGCGCTAGACATTTTTGGTTAAAGATAGAGATGATTAGTTAGATTAGTTGAAGTGAAAAGGTAGGACTGGTGAGTGAGAAGTCTAGAAAGATGGCGTGAATTGTTTCGAGATTGGGTGTATTGTTAAAGGTGATGTGACAGGTATGTGTAAGGTGAAGGTCAAGTGATCTGTCACCGGGTGTGATAGATTACAGAGTGATTTTGAGATTTGATCGGTTTTTAACTTTTCCGTCGATTAACCACCAATCTTCTCATTCTCACTCACACCATTCTCATTCTCACCATTCTAATTTTTACCATTCTAAGCATTCTCAACCAATCAACTGCTGTTTAATCTGCTCGCTTTTGAATGTTATTGAATTGAAATCAAATCATAACTTTCATTCTCAACAAGATGAACTCAAACAATCAATCAACCGATACTCCTAACTCACTACGTGACCCTCGATTATCATCTTTGCAAGTCACTCCGTCTCCAATCCCAACTCCATTGGCCACTCCTTCTTTGGTCACTAGCTCTCTCACAGATTCTAGTTTCTTTTCGCTTCGTGATCCTGCCTTGGAATCAATGTTATCTAGCGAGAATGGTCCTGCCTCTCTTCAAATATCCAATCCTACTCAACCCGATCTAGAAACCTCGACTTCATTGGCATCTGATTCAGTGCCTCCGCCAGGCCAACTAGGTCCCGATTTGCTTTCTTCTCAGATTGTCGCTAATCTTTTGGAACTTCAATCATTTCAAGCCAACCTCAACTCCTCTACGCCACCTACAATAGCTTCATCTACTATTCAGCCTGAAGGTCAGTCGAGCTCGAGTGTTGACATTCCAAGCAGTGTGAATCCAGAGGTTCAAGCACTCGAAGTGACAACCACCACTGAGATACCCACTTCACAAGAGCCATCCATCATACCTGCTCCGATTTCAAATCAAAGTGATGTCCCGGTATCGGTCTCACTCATTGACTCTGTCGAAGGGACCGGTTCTCTACCTGAAGGCAAAGCTGTAGAGCAGCCAGCCGTGACTGATAACCAAAACGAACCTCAATCACTCGATGTCCCATCTGTTGATCCACTCATGAATGGTGACCAGGAGATTGCTCGATCAAGGGAGATGTCTTTATCGATCGAGTCTACAGGCCAGCCAGATGTTGCGATTGAGGACCTGCCAGATCCGGCGACGGAAACCACCGAGCCGTCAGGTCATGTGATTGATCACGATCACGATATGGGTACGAGTGCTATCGACACGTCCGCTCCTTCTGCGCCAACCAATGAACCGAGCAATCCAGATCCATCTAGTCCGGTCACCATCATGAAATTTCCTTTACCGGCCAAACCAGCTTCTGATAATCACACACCGCTGTTCGCCCCATCCCCACCACAGGCATCCCAAGACGAATCACCGACTCCTCCATCCCCCCAACCTTTACTTTCACGTCTAGCGACTCTGAAACAGAGAGTAGAAAAGAACCGTATGGATGGAGAAGCTTGGTTAGAACTGATCGCTGATGCAGAGAAAAAGGGTGATTTAGAGAAGACCCGAGAAGTGTACAAATCCTTTTTGAGCAATTTTCCAGATGCTGTAAGCCTCAACACTGATGAAATACACAAACCAAATCCATCTCTTCACGTCCCAAACTGTCATCTCAGCCAATTTGCTCTTGACCTCGGACCCCTGTCCCTCTTGACTTTTCTTGCGAGACAAAGATATTGACCCACTGCCTTCCTGACTGTAAATTTTCTGCTCGTCCGGGCTTTTTTGATCCGCTTCACCACAAAACCTCTTGCACTTTGTCGTCCCGCAGGCCCCTCAATGGATAGCATATGCCGATTTAGAGCTTGGTCATGGCCATTTTCCCGAAGTGGAGCAGATCTTTTCACACTGTTTGCGCTCCTCCGTTTCCGTCGAGCTTTGGGCTTTCTACCTGAATTACATCAGAAGGGTGAACCCAGTCGAGGGTGACAAAGCTGCGGCTTCTCGTACCATCATCATTTCCGCCTACGAGTTTAGCTTGAATCATATTGGTATTGATCGAGAGTCTGGATCTATCTGGATAGATTATATCAGCATACTCAAAGCAGGGGAGGTCAGTGATTGTTAATTCTCAAGTTTTTTATCCCTCATATAAGGATTTCCGCTCGAGAGCCGAACATAATACGTTGCTTTGTATTCGCCGGCTCACTAGGCTTCGGGTACCTGGCAAGAACAACAAAAGATGGACTCGCTACGAAAGGTCTATCAAAGAGCTGTTTGCATCCCGCTGAACAACATTGAACAGCTCTGGAAAGATTATGATGCTTTCGAGCATCAGATGAGCAAGATGACTGTCAGTAACCGACATAACTCGTAGCTTGATCGCAGTGAGATGAACCCCGCTAATCAAGTTTGTATCTTCGATACTTTGTCTACATTTTTAGGCCAAGAAATTTTTAGCTGACAAATCGGCGCAATACATGGCAGCGCGTGCGGCACTTCGTGATATGAAGGCACTCACTGACAATCTTTTACGGCCAAAAGTGCCGGTAAAGCCTAACTGGAAGCGTATAGAAGATCATCGAAATCTAGAACAATGGAAGACTTACCTACAATGGGAGGAGAAAAATCCACTCGAGTTAACCGACAAGGCTGCTTTGAATACCCGAATCCAATACGCGTATCGTCAGGCAGTGATGCATATGCGCTTTTATTGCGAAATGTGGTTTGTTTCAGTTTTATAGGATATTGTCAAGAGATCAGTATAAGTGACATGAATTAATGAATGACTCTTGGTATGCGCTGCAGGTATTTGGCCGCCCACCATCTTCGAAAAATGGAAAAAACTGAGGAGGCTCTCCTTACGCTACATTCCGGCTTGACTGCTAACTCCACCAGGTATGCACTTGCATTTTCATATCATCGAAATATGCTCACTGAACTGACTATACTTGAGATTGCATCAACATCAGCATGGTCTTGACCTACGCCATTGTTGAAATTCAAGAGACTCTAAAAAATTACTCAGTATGCACAGAGGCATTCAAAGCTTTGATTGATCATTATCATTCAGAGATTGATGAAATCAACAAGACGATTGAAAAAGAGATTGCGCATGGGATTCCTATCATCGAATCTAAGACTGCCAATGGTGTGGATCATGAAACGACTCATGAATTGACAGAAGAGGAACAACAACGGGCCAGACAGGAAGAAGAGTTACGCACGAACGTCACATCCTTGTATAAGCCCAAGGTTGATGAACTACGTGAAGCTGCGGCCAGCGTTTGGATCACTGAGATGCGATTTGCTCGTAGGACAGAGGTACGCACTCGGAATTGGGTTGACATCTATATATGACATCATATCATCTCATCTTTTTTGTACCCCTCAACCTTTAGGGAATCAAACCGGCACGCGCAGTGTTTACCCGAGCAAGAAAATCTCCATACCTCACAAGACATGTGTTTGAGGCTTCGGCAATGATGGAATACCATTGGAATAAAGAGGCATCAGTTGCTACAAAAGTTTTCGATCTAGGACTAAAGTCTTTCAGTGAGGATGTTGAATACGTTCTGAACTACCTCGATTTTCTCATCAGCCTGAATGATGATAGCAGTAAGTCGGTTTGATCGATCTTTCATGAAATAACGCTATCTCCGATGCCCCGAAAGCTTATTGACTCGGTGTTACATAGATGCACGTGCGCTATTTGAAAAAACCATTTCTAAGATTTCATCAGAGGCTGCCCGACCTCTGTGGCATAGATGGGCAGCATACGAGTATATCTATGGAGATAGTACTGCTAGTCGCAAGCTGGATGCTAGGATAACTGAAAATTTCCCCGACTGTCAGTTATCATTTCTACACTCTTCTCTGTAATTGTAATCCAACTGACTTTATCCTTCAATCATACTATATACAGGGAGCATTGTTCAGAGGTTGGGAGACAAACATAATTACAATGGACTTGAAGATGTACTTGGTCGAGAGCTTGGGACATCCGTTGAACCCATTCCACTACGACGATCTCCTTCACCTGTACCTCAGCATCTACAGGGCTACGGCTTCAAGCGAGCTTCCTCTAAGGAACCTTCACATCCGCAATCAATCCCATCTGGTCCAGCAGCCCTGCTAAGAAATAGACAACGTGATCGAAGTTTCTCACCTGATTTTCGTGGCAAAAGACCACGTGGACAACGGGATTCGATCTCACCCGAACGTAGGGCAGGTGGGAATCAAGCGGAACATGGTGGTGGTGGTGTACCTCATCGAAGACCACGCGATAGCCACGAAGGACCTAAACGAAATCGATACAGTAGTCCTCCTCGTGGAAGAGAAACACCCCCACACCTTGCTCCTGCAGAAAGAGAGAATCCATTTGCATGGTTTCCAGATGGATTACGATACTTGCTTGGGATTTTACCGTCTGCATCATGCTTTGATGGTAAGTGAAAAAAAACAGGGTTAGATTAAGAACAATGTACTGATCGTGATCGATCGTTTATCTCTTTGTGTAGGTCCTCGTTTGGATGTGCATACTGTCTTACAAGTTTTGGGCGAAGCTAATATCCCAAACACGGGAGGCAATGGAGCCAATGGTAATGGTAATGGATCAATGGGTGGTTCCATCAACCCTCATCATCATAATAACAATAACTCAAGTCGAGAAGGGTTTCATTCGAATGCACCTATTGGATGGGGACCTAATAGAGGAGGAGGAGCCATAGGAAACTTACAACATACCAGATCTAATAGTTCCACTCGTCGAGGTCGACGTAAATAGTAATAAGATGATCTGACGATTTTTTTTTACACAAACGATGAATGTGTGTTGGAGTATCTGAAGTATGATTTTGAAAGAGATTGTGTTAAAGTGTGATTGATCATTCACTTTGTCTTCTTTTTAAGATCGTAATAAAGATATGACGAGATCATTATTAGATGTACAAAAAGGAGTAGTGGCCTATACATATAGTCAAAAATAGGTCTTTGAATTTTCTTTTTTTATCTTTGATGGATTTGTGAGACGGAAAAAGTAAATATATACATTTATATATAAATATAAAGATTTCTATATATATATATCCATTTATACTAAGAAAAAAAAAGCAATTTATCTTAAATCGCGGGAGTACTGCTGTGCTGATTATGTCCTTGAGTCTTTTTGAGACTTGGAATTTGATATTCGTTAGGTGTGTTATGGATTGATTGATTTGAATGTTTTTTTGGATAAAAACTTGATGAGCTAAGCTACCTTGAGAGTATTTTTTCGGGTGTGACAGACAATCAATGAGTTGGGATCATGTAGACAAAAGTTGATACATTTCAAACCACTCTGGAGTCTGGGTTGATAAAACAGGAATACAAACCAACTTGAAAAGATTTATTGATTGTTTAACTTGATCGTCTGAGTCAACTCACATGAGAAGAATATTTTTCCTCTACAGTCAACTGATTGTGGAACACTGGAATGAGACGTAAAGTGTTGTTTATGTATAAGTTTAACCGGTTTGGCAAGAGGAACGAACTTGGTTGAGTTAACTTAAAAACCTCGGATCATTTGTTTTGTTGGAACTTTGATTACAGGAAGTGCCCGGAAAGAGGGTTAAGAGAAAGTTGGATGGATTTTTCATAAAGAGCTTTTTGTCAATGTATCGTGAATCATCCCACCGGTGAGATCATTGTCCAAATACTGTGCAGTGGTACAGCATTACCGCAGCGAAATTGGGATACCAAACACGGTAAAACTGTACCACTGTGGCATTGATGCGATCATAAAACTACCACGGTAAAACAACCGCTCTCAAACGGAGCCTTGCATCAAGATCTCACCTCACAAAGTGAGGTGACAGTGTAGTTTGACACTTGCCATTCTTAAGATACTGGTCAAACTCGGAAGCGATTTCGCCGCAAGGAGAGGATGGCAAAAGCGGCAAGGCTCAGACTTATTTATGAAGTGTCGTAAACATGAATAAATTGTTCAAACAAGAAAGCGCTATGACGTGACAAGCCGCGAGAAGGAAGCCTCAAGGGCTTTTCTCAAATCTCATGAAAGGGAGATGGAATGGATCATGACAAGTTGGAAACAATTATCAGAGAGGAGAGAAAAAAAAAGTGAAAATAATAATGATCATTATCCGATGAAGCTGGCAGAAAATGCGAAGACGTGCAGGCAATCAAATCAGAAATTTCTATTGCCATTACCGACGCCGTATCCGTTGTAGCCGTTGCCGTTTCCATTAGGGTATCCGTTGTTGTATCCGTTGTATCCGTTGTAGCCATTACCGTTTCCATTGGGGTATCTGTTAGGGTATCGATTCTGGTATCCGTTGTATCCGTTACCGTTTCCATTGGGCAATCTGTTAGGGTATCGATTGTTGTTGCCATAAGGGGAAACATGACCGATAGAGTTGAACAGGGATTGTTGGTTGTAGTATTGGAATTGGGCAAGTTGAATACCAAACTGGCGGAAGACATTCATGTTGATGTTGTTGAAGATGATGCTCATGGGGATACGCAGGAGTTGAGTGATGCCGAAGATGACTTGGATACATGAGGAGAGAATCCTTATATCATCTGCAATGAAGATAGGTCAGTGAAGGTCGAGTATCCTATCAATAGTAAAACGTTACATACATTGGAACAAGGAGATCTGGTTCCAGTATTGCCTTTGGATGATCATAAGGATCTGTTGGATTGAGACAAAGAAGTTCGACACGATGGCTTGGAACTGAACAAGGTTGAAGAAAGTTAGAGAAACAATGATTATTGAGACGACATGAAAGGATTGACGGAGATTTGACGTACCTGGAATGTTTGGCCAACGTTGGTACACAGAGTGCAACCGCGCTGAAATTGATTGAGCATTTGCCAAAAGTTCGTGATCATTTGTTGGAACTGGAGCGCGAATTGTTGGGCTTGGAGTGTTTGACTCTGCCAAAAGGCGAGAGAGTTTCGGGAGATTGTCACAAAGTTATTGAAGGTGGTTTGAAATTGCGAGAAAGTTGAAAAGGAGGGGTTTCCAAGAACGAGCTGGTGACCCCAATGCATGCCGCCGATAGAAGGGACTACGGCCCCACAGTTGCCCCAGCATTTTGCTTCAATGGACTTCAGCTGGTTGTTGTCTCCTCTAAAAAACAGCGTACAATCTCAGCTCACGATTCAATATAAATGATTAAATTTAGTGAACACTCGAAAAGCACTCACCCGACTTGTTGCTCTGTTGAAGTCGACCGAACAGCTAATTTGGCAGCACTGGCGGTCAAACTAGAGATGAAAAAATCAGTCAGAAGGGAACAGAAAGCAGTGGATTCAAGGAATTGTACACTGACGCGGGGGCAGGAAAGGCAGCGGCGGAAGCTGAGAGAAAGGAAAACAGTTGACAAGATCAGTAAAAGAGGTAGGCTTGAGCAATATAAGCAGAATGAAGTACCTGCAAGGGTGGCAACGATGAGGGTGATGCTGAGTTTCATTCTGTATGTTATTTAGGCTTCACGTAAAACAAACAAGTGACGGAAAGATGAGCAGAGTTGGTCGTTAAAATTATTATTCTCGTAACAATTCGTTTTCAGATTTTTTGGATCTAACAAAGCTCGTTATGAAGATGGATGAGGGTAAGGGCGCAGGTGAGGGCGATGAGGGTAGAATATTTATACCCATTTGCCTTCGCAGAAAGAGTGAATATGTAATCAGTATCTACTATCAACACCGCTCGTATGAACTGGAATGCTATGTACCTCACGTACCGAAGTTGCTGTCATACGCGTGCTTCCCTCGGCCTTAGCCTGCTTCCGACGCGATACAGGCCGAGGGAAACGATCTAAATACGAATTCAATGATTTTTGTTTTGCATCCTTCCCCACCGGTATCCTTCCCCTAAAGCGCGATAATCTGGTACACGCCGGTCCTCGACCCAAGAAATCACGCTTTGAATGGAGCAGCTCGCCGGCGGCCGACAATTATCGAATTCGATATTGGTCAATAGGAAATTGATAATAACCTGAAGTTTATTTCAAATCGTTCTGTGGGCGTGAGCAGAATGAAAGTGAACAAAACTGAACAACCCCCATTCAATGATACGTCCGATAGATCAAATGTATAAACTTACACACTGAGAGGCGGTGTGTTGTTCACACCTTGTTCTCAACTTTTTCTCGAGCATGTTCGACTGTGGGATGAGAAAGGTAGGATTGAATTGTCTCTGTTTCAAAACCATGTAATTACCTTTTTTCTTTTTTGTTGATTTCATCAAAATTAGGGTGGGCTTCATGTCAAAACAAATCGAACCTAAGATGGCTTTTTGTAGGCATCGCTCAGAGGTCGAATCGAGTTCTAAAATTACATATAAGCCCTAAACTTAACAAAGTCCCATATATTAATAAGCCCCATATAAACTTGACTGAGTCCCACGCTCGCCTCGAGCGAGTACAGTTGACTCTGAGATAACCCATACCCTTTTATGGAACCCAAAAAGTATGGGTTATCTTGGAGTATGAGCTATCAGGATTCTCTGCAATAACCCATATATTAGTGGTTATGGGTTATTGCAGAGATTTTTTTGCGGAAGGCAAGAGAGTATGTGATTTCATTGCATACGTTTCACGCTCGCACCCGGCGCCTTTTTCGTGGCCCAGGGCATGGCCGTGGCCATGGCCTACACCCGGCGTGGCCTGCCATGGTAAGGCCCTTACTAGCCGGGGCCTCACCGTGGCGCCACAGTAAGGCCGTGTCTTGATCAGCAATGCAACGTGTCGCATGAATTTACTCACAACCAACATCACCCATGCCGCCATCCTCTAGGACTTGTCATTTTCGCCGCCGCAGGCAAGATAGATCCAACTCTCTCTCAACGGAACATTCAACATCAGATATTTCAACCTCTTCAACCAATCCAATCAACAGATCAAGTTCATCAAACAATAACTCAAACCTCAATCAACGCTTGGAGCACGTTTGAGACTTAATCAAGAAGCGGACCTCCTGGGTATGGGATTACTTTGAACCAGCTATTGTTGACAAAAAGATCAAATATATTTGCCAGCTTCCCAGCGAGAAATCAGCCAATGCTTTGTGTCACTGTCCAATCACTGAAGACAGAAAGGGTGGCACTAAGTCTCTCAGTCGTTATCTCAAGCACCAGCATAGAATGCAATCAAGCATGAAATTGAACCAGCTCAGGGAACAGGAAGCAAATGGGATGGTATGCTACCATCATACTATTCCGCAATTGTTCTTTTCTTAGATACCATCTTCTAACATGTTATTATGAATCAAATTTTCAGGACACTTTGACATCAGAGTCTTTCAAGAAAGCACTTGTCAAGATGTGCGTTGAGGACGAGTTACCCTTTCAGTTTGTCAATTCCGATGCATTTCAAAAGCTGTTGTTGCTTCTCAACCCCGATGTGAAACATCTTTTCATAAGTCCTACTACACTGAAGGACATGTTATTTGGAACATTTAAGCTTTATGAAGCACGCCTCACAGAATACTTTCGAGATATCAATCACATCAGTCTAACTTGCGATTCCTGGACTTCACCTAACCACAAATCAGTTTTGGGGGTCACTGCACATTGGATAGATCAAAAATTCGAGTTGAAGAACACCATTCTTGCACTGGTTGAAATTAAAGGTCCGCACAGCGGTGAAAATCTAGCAAACCATCTTCTTTGTATCCTGGATCAGTTTTCTTTACGCTCCAAGCTCTACTGTATCACTGCCGATAACGCCTCCAACAACAATACTCTTGCGTCTTCTCTTGAAGGGAGTATTACACAGTTCTCTCGTGCCAACCACCTCAATGGATGTATAGCTCATGTTATCAATCTTGGAGTGCGAGAGTGTCTCAAGCACTTCACCAAAAGTCTCAAGCCGAATAATATGACCGTACCCGAGGAGTTTGGACAAGTTGTTGAACAAGTCCTTTCACAGAAGACCGCGTGCCTCCTTCAAAAGATCAACGACATCTCATATAAATACAAAAACAGTCCTCAATTTGCAGCACGCGTTCATGAAATTGCCTCGATAACTCCTGGGATTGGTCACTCACTGGGCCTTCTAACTGAATGCCTTACTCGGTGGAACTCGCTGTCTCATGTCTGCGCTCGAGCCATTCGCATGAAGAGCGTGATAAATTTCATACTCGATAACGACCCTCAATACACCAACCTCCGAATCAGTGATCTTGAATGGGGAATACTGGACAATCTAGTGAGGTTTTTACAACCTTTTGAAAAGATCACCTCAAAACTTTCAGGTACAAAATACCCCACTTTCTGCTTAGCCGCCTTAGCATATGAGAAGATGATGAAAAGACTTCAGGCAGTGAGTGCTTTTCATCACGACTCATTTTATGTAGCTTTGTTGCTTATATTATCATCATGACTCTACTATCAGGCTATGGAAAGTCCGGCCACAATGCCTAGTCTCCGATTGGCTTTGAAGCCCATGTACGATAAAATTGCTGCGTACAGGGATAATGCGATCAGAAAGTATACATACCTGGTAGCACCAGTCCTTGATCCCAGGATCAAGCTTGAAGGAATCTGTCCTGATATTGTATCCCGTGAAACTTTGGAAGATTATCTTCATACCAAGTGTATTCGTCTAGGAATCACCAACACCGTCGAATTATTTGAACCCAACGAAGTAGGTCAACCAAGCTCAGATTCAGATCTAATTGATGAAATCCCGGCATCTCAACCACCTCAACCAGTTTTTTGCCTTCGAGAAGAGATTGTGTCATATCTCAACCGACCGGTCGAACCTCAATCTGTCACACCATCAAGCTATTGGACTCTCCATGACAAACATTACCCCCACCTAGCCAAACTTGCTCAAGCAGTCCTCGCTATTCCCGCTACCAGTGTACCTTCGGAAAGCGCCTCTTCTGACAGTGGTCGTGTAATGGATGACTACCGATGCTTGATGAAGATTTTCACACTCATGGAACAGGTCTGTTTGAAAAGCTGGATGAAGGTACTCGACTGAGTTTTTTAATCTCTCTCACATCTCCTTCTGATGTCAAGCAAGCAAATTTATAAATCGCAAATTGTGAACACAATCTCAGATCTCACAGTGCAAGTTTAGGTTTGGCCGTTTTTAAAATTTATATCGTTTCCTATCGTTTCAATACATTTTTGAAACATTCATATCTTTTCAATACGTTGTTTTTTAAATCTCTTCTGTCAAAAAGTGCTATACAATAAGATGTGTTGTTTAAAGATATCTGAATTGCAAACTACTCGTATGATTCCCAAAAATCTGATTCACCAAGTTTTTGTTTTACATACTGTGACAAAGTACTCAGCGGAAAAAACAATTGTTCAAAACAAAATTTAAGAAGGAGGTCCAGATACAGGAGAATGTTCAGAAGTTAAAGCAGCAGTTGAAGGACCCGATGAAACAGTTGTAGCCCCACCTGCTCCTTCCATTAACTCTGACATACTCGTTTCAAGTGAATCGATCCGTTTTCCTAAAAGGTCCACTTCAAAAAAGAACAGAAAAATCAAAACAAAAATTGGTTAGTGTTTTTTCATTTCTTGTTTTGTTGAATAGCTTTGGAGAGGCAAAAAGGGATAACAGAACAGGCTTACGTCTGTCCAAGACGTCGACTTCTATTCTTGAAAATTTAGTTTCAAGTTTAGATAAAACACTATCAACCTAAACATTCATACCCAAATCCACATTCCATTCCAAAAAGAAACCAAGAATCAATGAATCAATACAAAATTAAAGAAAATCTAGATGATTATTAAAAAGCAGAATCAAGTCGATTAGTATCTTCTTAAGGATTTGTGTATTTTTGGAAGACTTGTCCGGTCAGATAGCTTACCTTGAAATGAGACTGATTTAAAAGTGAGGTCATGTTGAATGCATGTTTTTTCTTTGTGAGATCGAGATTGAACATGGTGCGTGTGCGATCAAGTTAGGCTCTTATCCTCGTCTGCGCTCTGCAAAGGCCACGGCAGGGCCCAGGGCGTGGCCAGGGCCATGGCCTAAGCCATGGCCATGGCCATGGGCCCTGCCGTGGCGCCACGTGGCTTCGTGGCTTTGGGTGCGAGCGTGACATACGTTTCAAGAAGAGCAAGCAAGGAAAGACAATAGGTTGGGCTGGACTGGCGTTTTGGAACAAGCTGCACTGAATGTATGCAGAGCTTGCCTAAGAGCCCTCCCACAAGATTTTGCTTCCTCAGAATCTTTGTGTCTGAGGTAATTTGTCATTACATTGGCTGAGTTAAGGAAGTCGGAGTATGCTGGGCAAGGAGGTACCTTGATCTCAGCGTGTTCTGGAGCAGATAGAGGTGTGATGTTGTTGTGTTGTTCAATTGCTTCAAAAAATTCCTCCGGAGTCCAGGTCTCAAGGCCACTTGTGGGCTCATTGGTAGGATATAGGTGTTCTGTAATGGGCATCATATTTTTTTATGAACAATTCAATGAAATGAGTTCTTGAATATCCTGCTCAAGATCTT